CCACACAGAGGGTGTTATGAGCATCTGAGTGACAAACACTGAGTAGGACTTGAGACAGTTGTTGGGGAAGAGGAACTTCAGAGATGACAAAGGCTGCTAAGGGCAGCTAGATAGAGTCAAACCATAGAGTGGCACTCTTCTTCCCTCAAAGAGCCTTCAGCAGTTGATCATTTGTCACAAATGCATGACAGAGACAGACTTAGAACATTATGTGGGGCTGCCTTGGTGCACAGCCTTTCTTCACAACCAGCAAGGAACAAGAAAGAAGCTCTGTGGTCAAGTAGACACATCTGAGAGAAACGGTGCCTGTCCCTTCCTCTTTGTTCATGAGCTGTCAATCTAGTGTGGGATAAAACTAGTTGTTGGTTCCTACCAATAACATGGGTTTTTTTAATGGGAGGAGAAGGTGATCTGCCTGGCAGGGACATGGCCTGAATCATTCCTTCAGTAACAGTAGCCGAACCTCTTCAAAGTGGGGAGACACACACACACACACACACACACACACACACACACACACACACACACACACTCCTGGGAGCAGGGAAGTCCAGGATGAGAATGGCTGGCCCACTCAGCCAACCACCTGAATCTCTATGATCTGCTCTTCCAACTGGAAAAGTAGTGGCTGTGATTTCCTCAGTAACCTTAAGCATCCCAGGAACAGGTGCAGAAAAGCAGCACCCAGATGCAGTGGACCAAATCCGAGTGATGGGCAACAGTAGACAGGAAGAGCAGAGAGGGCCTCTCTCTGCAGCAGGAAGAAATGACTCTTCCAGTAATAGATACCACTCAGCTTATTTGTAGCTTACCTGGAAAAGACCCTTCAGGGATGTCAGAAATATAGAAATTCCTTTGGTCCAACTACTGCCAGACAGACAGCCACCCCTGGGAGTCAGTGTAAGACATCCCTGCTCCTTCACACCACAGCTAGGCTGCAAAGTTCACAAGCTACAGTGGTTTTCAGAATTCCCTCATAGAATCAAACCCGTGACCCCCACAGTGGGCATTGACTACCACCTTTTAATCCTGGTCTCACCTCCAGCTCACTTCCCACTCCCCAGCTTCTCAGTGGCCCCCTTCACCTCTCTAAGAACTGACTCACATCTAACTCCTCAGGGCTGCATCTGGAGGAACCCAAAAAAGAACACTGGGTCATGATAATCCATTTTAGGTCCAGGTCTCATAAATCAAAAAGGAAGGTGCAGAGCTCAGCCTGCTGCTAGGATCCAAAGTTCTCTGCTACTGAAGGTCCTTTCAGGGCTGTGCTTGAGTGTCTGGCAGTCTCATTTTTGCAGAGCCATCAGTCAGTCATCAATGCTCCAAATCAGAGCACTGAACTGAATCCACCATGGTCTCTGCTGGGACAGGAGAGGACCAGGAAAGAAGGTCCTAGTGATTTCATGAGGACAAAGCAAGACTTCTGCAAAGAGATATATGCTTCCCTCATCTTCTGTGGAGAAAGGAGGGGCATTCAGCTGATCTTCCTCAAAGTCCAGGTCCCAAAATACCTTAAGAGGACACTCGAAGTTGTATGGGCAGGCATATGAGCCATTCCTCCCCCACTCTGAGTCACAGATGGACCCAACTCTCCACTGACCACATGGATGTTATGGTGACTGAGCAGAAAAAGGGGATGCCAGTTTCCATGGCAATGTCATTTGTGTTTTCTATAGATGGAGTGACCCTAGAAGGGCATGGACTTAGGCCAACTTTCTTATGCTCCACCAGAGGGTGACCAGCCTGATAAAGGATCAAGAGCCTGTGGGTGGTGGCATTGACTGACACAGAGATGTGGGGGAGAAAAGGAAGTTTATCCCCCAAGCTAGGCGACCAAGAGTCCTCCAGAGAACCAATATATGCTTCACATAGGGGAAACCTGCCACAGATGTGAGCCAAACAAAACCAATAGCAGCCAGCTCCTACCTCCCATCTAGTCCAGGAAGCAGTCCACCAGGGCACTCTATGGGCCTGGAGAACAAAGAGGGGGAGAATGCAGGGTCAGGTCATGGGTTTTCCACTGAGTTTCACCCAGAGCCAGGAACTGAGCTTGTCCTGGGGGAGTTGAGCCTGTATAAGGCTGAGATAGAAAGGCTTCATCTAGGATTTGAGATTCAAACTTCAAAATAAATAGGAGATTCCCATTGTAAGACTCAGTCATGATGGTTTCAGTAACCAGTCACGACAAATGAACAGTGAGACTCACTGTGATCTTGTCGATGGAGCCGACATCTAGCAATGAGAAGAATCAGCACCTAGGGGTGGGAGCAGACAGTGGTGATGCTGAAACTGGGCTATTGATGGAAAAGATGATTTCCTGACCCCCAAGTCACTCAGGATGTGTTTTTGTTGGAAAGCGGGGTGTAGATGTAACCAACCGTTTTATTAAATAAGAAACACAGAGCTGATTCAGAGAAGAAAGTCAAGAGGTCAGAGCTAAAAGCCTTACCCTTCCTGCTTCAGCCAAGAGAGCTCTCCGAAAGGGGCCTACTTCCTGTCTGTTCATCTTTATATAGACTGTCTGTTCTGCCTTCTTATTGGTTGTAAACCCAAACACATGACTGCTTCGTCACTGCCTGTATGTACAGCCCTCCAGGTCCTCTATGGTATTGAGATTAAAGACATGTGTCTCCAATGTTGGCTGTATCCTTGAACACACAGAGATCTACCTAGCTCTGTCTACCAAGTGATGGGATTAAAGGCATGCGCCACCACCACCACGCTCTTGCTATGGCTCTAATAGCTCTGACCCCCAGGCAACTTTATTTATTAACATACAATTAAAATCACATTTCAGTACAAGTAAAATACCACCACAGCGGGGTGACTGCAGAAGTCATTAGATGAGCTCAGGTTGGACCAGAGGATGTGGGCTCCTAGTTCAATATAGCCGGTATTCTCATGAGAAGACAGCCATGTGAAGACAGAGATACATGAGAAGAAGCCCTGGTTATGAAGGAGACTGGTGGGGAGCATCTGCAAGCTGAGGCATGCCCAGGGCTGTAGCAACCTTGAAAGGCAGAAAGAGATAAGAGGAGGGGAGGTCTCCCTTCTGTTTTAGAGGCAGTTCAGTTCTGCTGATATCTTGGTTTAGACATTATCTTAGTTAGGGTTTCTATTGCTGCAGTGAAACACTATGACCAAATAAACTTGGGGAGGAAAGGGTTTATTTGGCTTACGCTTCCACATTGCTGTTCATCATGGAAGGAAGTCAGGACAGAAACTCAAACAGGGCAGAATCCCAGAGGCAAGAGCTGATGTAGAGGCCCTGGAGGGGTGCTGCTTACTAGCTTTCTCAGCCTGCTTTCCTATAGAACCCAGGACCACCAACCCAAGGATGGTACCACACACAAAGGGCTGAGCCCTCCCCCATCAATCACTAAGAAAATGCTCTACAAGCTTGACTACAACCTGATCTTGTGGAGGCATTTTCTTAATTGAGATGCCTCCTCTCCGATGACTTTAGTTCATGTTAAGTTGACATAAAACCATCCAGCACAGACTTCCAGACCACCTGATTGTGAGGGCTCTTGAAATGTCCCCAAAGCTTTGCAACTCCCCTGAAGCCACCCTGATGTTCATTTGTCATCTAGACTCAAGATATACATGGACTCAAGTTCTTGGATCATGAACCAAGCATCTTGGACCATGAAGCCCTCAGTTCTTCCCAAGACCATCATTAATTTCCGGTAGTACTCTCCTTGACCCAAGCCATCCTTCATGTCTGCACAGTGACATCAGCACAGGGCTCAGTTCCTGCTCTTGTTTCTAACATGTCTGCCCACTCTGAGAACTTAGAAATCTCCTGTGAGAATCTTGCAGGCGTTCTGAGAAGAGTCCCTGAGACTACTGTCTCCCCTAACTTTCCTGGCTCTGCACACCCCATCATCCCTCTCCTCTCCATCTTCCCTACAGATCTACATCAATTTTACCTTAACAGTTCTGCTCAGGCATAAGATCCTATCTGGGGCCTACTATCAGCACCTCTCAGAGTAGAAGCATTCTATTCAAAAAGACAGTTTCTTCCCCAGTGGGAATTTTTTGTGTACCCTCTGAAAGTGTATCTGCTTGTAGTGTTGTTGCTGTTGATGATGGTGGTGATAGGTGTGTGTGTGTGTGTGTGTGTGTGTGTGTGTGTGTGTGTGTGTGTGTACCAAGTGCATGTGCATGCAGACTGGGGAGGGGGAGACTGCTTCATTTTATTCTATGGGTATTTTGCCTATATGTTTGTCTATGCAGTATGTGTATGCCTGGTACCCCCAGAGGCCAGAAGAAGGCATTGGAATCCCCCTCCAAACAAGAGTTACAGGCGGTTGTTAGTGTCCATGTGCACTCAACCACTGAGCCATCTCTCTAGCCCCAAGGGAGAGCTTTCTGAAGAAAGGGGGAAAGATTGTCAAACAGGAAAAACAAAAACATCAACAACAAAGTATATGTTGTCTTAGAGATTCCAGGGAAACAAGAATCAAAGGGAACCAACTCATCTCAGCCATTGCTGGGTAGGGAAAAAAAAATCATGGTAGAGAGGTCAGAAGCTGAGGTTCTGGGGTCAACCAAAAGTTAGAGGACAGCCTGAGCATCAGTCCTCTCTTGAGTCTAAAAGAGTCCAGGGCAACCCAGCAAGAGTACAGGCCAAGTGGGGGTGGCATGCGCCTTTAATCCCAGTACTCAGGAGGCAGAGGCAGGAAGATCTCAGTGAGTTTGAGGCCAGCCTGGTCTGCAGAATGAGTTCCAAGTCAGGGCTACACAGAGAAACCCTGTCTCCAAATTCCACAAAAAAGAAAAAATATGTGTGGTATGGTCTGCCTGGCTGTAATAAACACTGTGTACCTGGATATTCCACAAAAGGGTACCCCAACTTCACTGGCTTCCTGTTTCCATAGGGTTTTCTGTCCCTGCCAGTAAAGCCACAGGCTGGGCCTGAGCCAAAAGTCCTTGGCCTTGGGGGAATCTTGACCATGAGCACCATAGAAACAAGAGAACCAAGACCACAAAACCCATGACACATTCAATATACTTTATTAAAAAGTTTCTTTGTATAAATTTCCTAAAATTTTAAACATTAAATCCCACCTCCAAACTCCAAGACAACAACAATAAAAGAAACAACCCACATTAGAGGAATGCCTAAAATATTCTCTATTACAACTCTCTTTGAATTCTTTAATCGAGGCATTTGTCCCAACAGTGCACACAGATGAACGGGGGTCTGACTTCTTCCCATTAGATCATTTTTCAGAGAATTTAGAAGAAGAAAATTATTTAAAGTCTAATCCAGGAACTCAGGGCCATGAAAACATTAGACTCTTGTTTCTCCATCTAAGCCACGCAGCTACAGGGGGATGAACCAAGCAGAAACGTACAGAGCAGCTGTGACGTTGAGGCTGTGTTCCAGACATTGCATTTGCCCGGCACAGGCCTAGAATGAAACTCCAGCGGGAATCTGAATTTAGAGGAATGTTCACATAAACACCAGCAGTGGCTAGCTGTTACATGGTCCAAGTATACGGTAGAACTGCCTGGAGACGGAGAGCAGGGTCCACAGACACGTTTAGCACCATATTGACAGGTCACGTGCAGAGGCTTTCCTCCCGAGGTTGAGTGTCAATCAAAGCATGAAAAGGCACCGTGCTGGGGCATTTACCCAGAGCTTCTATTTAAAAAAAAAAAACGAGTTGGAAATGGCTGCCTCCTTCTTCTCCCAGAGGTACGTGTTGCCCGAAGGCCATGCTTAGGTTCCGGTTAGGCTGATAAATCTGGGAAGCATTGAGTGTGGAGAGAGGGAGAAAAGAGCGAGGCAAGAGATAGAGAGAAAAGAAAAAGAGGAGAGGTCACTAGACATAAAAGACACTATTTACCACAGCACGACCCCACGGCCTCCAGTCTCTACCCCTTCCTCACTGGTTCCTGTGACCTTCGTGGCTTCAGGTTTGGGCAGTCTGAAATGGGACCCCGCCCTGACAGAACCCCAGCCCTACCTCCACTTGCTACACTGGCTCCCTCCCCGCTCTGACCCCAGGTCCTGTGCCACTACTTATGGAATTCCCACTCTGATGCAGAGATTAGATAGCCCCAGTGTCAACATTATTATTTATGGGAAGCAAAATTAGTTTAAAGTGAATACGTGAATGTTTATCACTAGTTTTGTTACTGATCATTATTCTATTCTAACAATCATATACAGTGGACATTTCAAAAGAGACAAGGATGTGGTAATGTTTCTGATACACTTGGCTCTGTGTTTCCCAACTGCCAGAGATACACTTATGCTTTCAGGAAACCAATCAGTCATTCCAAAAACTAATTCCATGTGGCTGTGTGTGTGTGTGTGTGTGTGTGTGTGTGTGTGTGTGTAAAATTAAAAATTGTATCTCTTTTTAGTGTTTCACGGGAACATCTTATCTGTATTCAGGTTTTCCATAATCATTGTAATTCAAATATTTCCCAGTGGTGCGGTTATTAACCTGGATCTCTACTAAGAGCAAAACAAACACAGAGGAAAGGCCACTTACCAGGACTGCACATCTTTTCACATTCTTCCTGTGACTTGAATCTGTTCTCATTGCCGCCACAGCCTCCGTACCAGAATCTCTTACAGCCTCTCTCATTCAGGTCGTAGTACCATAGTAACTTAAACTGATCACAAGTCCCGCCATCTTTGGTCAGCTTACAAATGTCTATAATATCAAGAAGAGGAAGGGGCATCAGTCGGACTGTGCCAACACCTCGGGCTCAGAACCGTATGGGTGCCTGTGGGCTGATCTCAGTGCTACAGTAGAGAGGGGTTTCACGGTGGGAAGGGTTCAACCTAGCCACGCCTGTCTCCTCACCGTCGTACTGACTGACATAAGAGTCCCTCTCAGGTTTACAAAGAATAAATAAAATCACACCAAGAGCCTCAAATATGAGCCATCATTGAACAGCAAAAATAAAGTGACAAACCCCTCCTCCCACCCCATTCCACTCTCCAAGCCATTTACTTTCCAGTTCTTTTTATCTTTAGGGTCCAGAGAAGAAACTGACTTTTCAGACCACAGGCTTTTCTACTCCTTGGTAAAATGGCGTTAAATTCCGTTAGAATGTACTTCAAAAGGAAGGCTGTACATTTCACAAAGAAAGTAAATTGAAATTTTTGGTGGAGTGTAAGTGGGTGTATTTTTTAATTTTTATTTTATTATTTGTGTGTGTGTGTGTGTGTGTGTGTGTGTGTGTGTGTGTGTGTGTGTGTGTGTGTGCTACATCAGACCCCCTGGAACTGGAGTCATAGGTGGTTGTGAGCAGCCTGACATGGGTGCTAGAAACTGAACTCTGGACTTCTGCAAGAGCAGCAACCACTTTAAACCCCTGAACCTCCTCTCCGGGCCCTCAATAGACGTTCTTTAGGATAGGTGTGCACATGCACACACATGGGTAGCTAAGTATCTTCCTGGCCCCTCACATAAAACTAACTCAAAGATGAAACTCCTCACCACAGCAGACATACTCCAAGGCAAGACTGTGTGAGAACAGGATTTTTTTTTTCTCCAGTTAAGGAAGTTCACGTTTTGCAGCCCAGCTGCAAAGGAAGGCCAGGCCCCCTAGATGCCTACAGAGATAAGTTTACAGTCCGAGAATAGTGAGGCTTCTGTGTACAGAACTTTCTGGCAAACTCTGGAGTTTGCTGGGAATGATGTGTGCGTGTAAAGTGCTTTAATCTCAAAGTCGGGAAGGCTAAGCCTTCTCTCAACAAAAGCCCTGGAGCAGATACTGTGCATGCTTGTGCAAGCCACTACCAGCCTGACACGCAGTTCTTCCCACCAAGTGCCTCCTCCATCTAACACTGCGCAAACCAGAATGTGATTGCTGCAGTTAGGGCTTCCTTGAGCCAAAGCAAGGGGGCTCAGTCAGAAGTATTCCAAACACCAACTGGAAACGCGTTCCTTGGTGGTTCCATGGTTTTAAGAACACGACTTTGATCACCTTGGGTACCAGCAGTGCTGATGTGTTGATGTAAGAGTCTGCCAAATCTACAAGGCTGAAGTCAGAACCCCATATCGACAATTGGGGCTTAATGTTTCACTTCAGTTTTCAGTGTGATTGTGACTGAGTTTTGGATCCTTCCTTTCATTGTTTGTAAGTCAAACACTGCAAGCAGTTAAGCCACCGTCTCCCAAGAGATCAACAGCCCTGAGCACAGCCAAGGAAAGCAAGCATTTATACCATTTATCTCAACTTGCAGGGTTTAGCCCTTTAAGTTGTTATTGACTTGTATTTCCCCCATTGCATCATCTTGTGCCAATCAGTGGTAGACAGAAGACAGATGAATGGATGGATAGATAGATAGATAGATAGATAGACAGATAGATGATAGATGGATAGATAGATGATAGATGGATTGATAGATGGTTAATGGTAGAGATATGTAGATAGATAGTGATAGATGGATAGATAGGTGATTGATGATAGAGATAGATGGATGGATGGATAGGTGGGTGGGTGGGTGGATGGATGGATGGATGGATGGATGGATGGATAGATAGGTAGATAGATAGATAGATAGATAGACAGATGATAGATGGATAGATAGATGATAGATGGATTGATAGATGGTTAATGGTAGAGATATGTAGATAGATAGTGATAGATGGATAGATAGGTGATTGATGATAGAGATAGATGGATGGATGGATAGGTGAGTGGGTGGGTGGATGGATGGATGGATGGATAGATAGATAGATAGATAGATAGGTAGGTAGGTAGGTAGGTAGATAGATAGATAGATAGATAGATAGATAGATAGATAGATAGATAGATAATCTATCCATGTGGCATATGGCTAACCAAATGATGTACTGCCATATTAAGTTTACTTTCTGTCCTACCAACACAAAACACTACCAAAAAAGAAAACACAATATGTACCAACTGTGAGTCATATTTTGGTGTCAGAAGTGAAACCAAAGTGAAAGGTGTGAAAAAAAAGCGTATCTTAGAATCAATACAACAATAAAATGTTGGAGAGCATGGGACAACCATTCATTTGTGTAACCGACCCAGTCATACCTCCTCTGGTCATTTTCTAGGATAAGCGACAATGGACACCAAACGTACAATGAGTTCTGTTGGCTAGCTTTGCCATTGGCACTTCTCTTCCACAAATATGGTTCAACTGTTGATTTGTGGTTCATTTGGTAATAGTGAAAAGGAATCAGTGCTCTTAGTTAGACTTGCTTTGTTTAGAAACTTCAATGTTAACTGTAAGATGCATAGAAAGTATTCACCCAAAGGCTTCACCAGGCAAAAATGAGATGAGAAAAAAATAGTTACTTACAAAGTTCTAAAACCCAAATTAGCAGCCAGTGCATGGCCCTTGCAGTAATAAGCCTGTGGCTGTCAACAACTGCACACTCAGCCTCTCCATGCTCTCCCAAGTGAGCTAAAACTGAAGGATTTGTTCAGTGGTTGCTAAGTGCCCGTAACAGGCTCCTACCATACTACTTTAAAGTGGCTGCACTGGGATATTTAAGAAAGCAAAAAGTGGAGTGGAGGATTAAAGGGAGGTTTGTTTTGCTTGGTTTTAAAAAGTACAATTTTTAAGCATTTCAAATGTAATATTTCAAAGTCTAGAATCTTGAAAAGCAAGTAATGGATGGCACCGTAGGTCTATCAGCAGAATCGGCCTTCGTCTTCGGCAAGTCTTACAGAGGCACAGTCCTCTACCAGGGGACAGCCTTTAGATGGGGGGCACGGAGTCAGACTCCCCTCCCCTTGTGAGGCTATGTCAAGCAGACATGGATGCTCGCCTCCATCCTCAGGCTGGGTGCTTCATACCCACCAGTGTGACGGAGACAGATTTTAGATTCACCTGTAACAAATGCTCTGAAGCCTTGACAGGGACATGGGCTCCATTAAAAAAACAAAGCCAACATCATCTCTTTATCACATAGTGGTACACATCTGAGTGGAAAATGCTTCCCTAAATCTGAAAGCAGCAACTCCACACTGAAACACAGAACAGCCTGACCCAGATTCGTGTTTAAGGATTATCTTGTTTACACTAACTAAACACTGTTTATCCAGTCTCATCCTTCTGAGATACACATAAAGGAAACAAAACCACCCCTGAATCTTACTATCGAGGAGTTCCTCCAAGCCATCTTCTCCCAATGAAACAAGAATTTGCTAGAAATTTTTGTCTTTTCCACATCCAAAGAGGCAAAAGCTAGTAAGAGGGAGTGGAATAAAACACAGTTTCCTGTGCCTTTGAAGTGCATTGTGGGTAACACCCAGTTTCCTGTGCCTTTGAAGTGCATTCTGGGTCTTCTTTGGCAGGTCTTTTTTTTCCCCCCTAAACTTTATTTATTATTATTGTGTGTGTGTGCATGATAGGAGAGAGGGGTGTGCCACGGCAGGCGGATGGGAGTCAAAGGAAAATGTGGACTAGGTTCTCTCCTTCCATGTTTATATGGGTCCTAGCGGGTCAAAGGTCGGTTGTCAGGGCTGACACTGCAAGTTCTGGACCCGCTGAGCCATCCTACTGGCCCCGTGACCAGTATCTTGAAGGAAAATCTGGGAAACCCCAGCCTTCTTTATGAGGTCAGTCCTCTTGTTGGGGCGCCCTTACCAGGGCAGCTTAAGAATATACCGGAATAGACTCTGAGCCAGGCGGCAGACAAAAGCCTGTCTGCAGTCGTTGGTGGGGGCAGCAGAAATGGCCGACCAGCAGTGTCAAGGGTATGGAAACTCACGGTCTCTCCTCCTCCTCCCCCTCCCCCAACCAGCTCTCAAGGCACCAACCCACTTCAGTTTTCCAGTTTGAGTTGATGACATCATAGCATTAAACTTCTTCAAGGCATTTTATACAATCTCTCAGCAGTTTAATTGGCACAACCTGAATGGATTCCTGCCTCGTTTCCATAAATTTCTACTGAGAAAATCCCCTCGTTTTCAGCCAGTCTTTTCCCTGGGAAGGCTAGAGGCACTGAACACCATACCATCGTTTGCATATTAAAAAATTGTGGTGGCTCTTCAGTCTAGCACAGCCACAAAGGCAGCTACAAATGCTTCTTATGGACAATGATTTCGGGGGGCGGGGTGGGGGGAGCACATGGTGAGAGGCACTCTGTTCCTCCTGACCGGCTAGAAAGTATCAAACCGTCTCCAGGCTAAGCAGAAGCTTGCACTTGGAGGACTATGAAACAGCACCACACCTAAGTCCTCTGGGGATATTGAGTTCTGTTAGCGCTGGCGTCTTCAGGTGACCCATCTTAAGTCAAATATGCTGACCGCTGCAGCAGTCGCTTCTGCAAAGCTGATGAGCCAAGCCTCCCTTCTGCTGTATGGGAGTGGTGGTTGGAATGAGAATAGCTCCCACTGGCCGATGTGTGGGGACGTTTGGTTCCTGTGCTGGCTAGTTTAATGACAATTTGACACAGGCCGTCTGAGAGGAGGGAACCCCAACTAAGAAAACGTCTCCATACGATCAGGTTGTAGGCAAGCCTGTAGGGCGTTTTCTTAATTAGTGATTGATGGCGTGTGGTGGGTGGTGCCATCCCTGGGCTGGTGGTCCTGGGTTCTATAAGAAAGCAGGTGGAAGCAAGCCAGTAAGCAGCTCCCCTCCATGGCCTCTGCATCCGCTCCTGCCTCTAGGTTCTTGCCCTGGTTCAATTCCTGTCCTGACTTCCTTTGATGATGAACAGTATCTGGAAGTGTGAGCCAAGTAAACCCTTCCCTCCCTGAGCTGCTTTTTGGTCATGCCGTTTCATCACAGCAACAGTAACCGTACCTAAGACAGTCCCCAGTTGGTAGAACTGTTTGAGAAAGATTAGGAGGTGTGGTCTTGTTGGAGGAAGTGTGCCATGGCTAGGCTTTGAGGCTTTGAAAGCCTCCCACCATCCCCAGCGAGTTCTCAGCCTCCTGTTTGTGAATCAAGAGATGGGCTCTCAGCTACTCCACCTGCCTGCAGCCTTCTACCTCTGTTCCACCATCATGAAAAGACCCTTATTCCTCTGGAACTGTAAGCCCCAAATAAATTCTTTCTTCCATAAGTTGCCTTGGTCATGGAGTCTTATCGCAGTGACAGAAAAATAACTAATTCAGGGGTTACAGGTTCTCAGACTCATATTCCAAGGACATAAGTCATGCCTGTCACATGGCTGTCGCTAACAGACACACTCTGTGCTCAGGTACCCAAGAGAGTGGTACACAAGACCAAGCCAGAAGGTGGTGTTTTGGGAACTGGGAGCACGTCCGAATCCTCATGTTCTGTGGGGTCTAATCCAGTTGTCTTATGTTTCCTAAGCAGTTTCTTATAGATAACTCAATGAGTGGATGAAACCCTATTCTTTGCAGCACCACAGACCACAAGTCAACCCTAGTCTCAACACTAGACAGAGAGGAAGTGACTAATGGAGACATGCATGCTGCCCACGGGCTCAGAAGCAGCTCCACCCAGCTTCCTTTAGCAGTATGGTAACAAGCATAGTTCCTCTGCGTTTGAAACAGACAATATGCAGAATGAGATGAAACTCAGCAGCTGAGAGCCCCTTTGGAACTTACCCCAGGGAAGTTGAGTGAATCAGTCTCAGGCAGGTGATCTCAATTTCAAAGGATTTGCAATTCCTGAGAGAATGCTTTCTGAGATCAGTGGGCCTACTATTGCCATGACTCACCTGTTTTAGTGAGAAACAATGGTTCTGTGTTCACCATTAGATTGATGGTTGAACTAGATGCTGGTCGTGCTGGCTGAAGAGGTGGAGCCTGAGTTTTCTCTATAAGAAAAAATAATGCAAGCAACTAGTAGTTGATTCAGAGACGAAAAGGGCTGGGGAATGATAAGCCACAGATCCACACTTCCCTTCCTGGATTAATCTCTTAGGTGATGGGGTGCTGTTGAAACACAGGAGAAGTCTGTGCTCACTACAGATGCTGCAATACACATGTTAAATGCACCTGTTAGCAAGCGGATAAGAGGGAGCCCCTGCCCCAGGAGAATGGTGTCCTGGAGTTGGGTGGGTCTTCGGACTCCCTAACCTGAGGCTACTGGTGGGAATGCCTTATTTCAAGAATGATCCCCCCCCCCCCCCCCCGTCTGAGCCATGCTGAACTAAGGAGAGATGCTCCGCCCACACCCTTGAGCAGAGGGGTCAAGAATCAAGGGATGAGGACCTAGAAAGACTAGGAAAGAAGAGAGATATGGTCATGATTGGTTCAGAAGGACTGGAAATGAAGAACATGGTGGTGTGCGCGTGGCTGGAGCCACTCGGGAAGTGAAGTGAGGAGATCATTTGGACCCAAGGGTTTCAGGACAGCCTAAGCAACATAGAGACCTAGCTAAAATAATAATAATAATAGTAGTAGTAGTAATAATAATAATAATAATAATAATAATAATAATAATAATAATATAGGAAATTCCTGAAAAGGAATGTGAGAGAAGGCCTGAGCAAAGTGTGCGAGCCAGCCGAGTACAGGCTGGTAGGGCCAGGGAGGGAGAGACTGGCGGCCTACCCACCACAGCTCCAGACACCTCGTGACTCTGCACATCGAGAGCTCTCAGACTGGAGAACTCTTCCCTGGCTCCCTAAGGATTCACTTTCATTCATTGAACTTGGAAACAGGGATGGGTAGTGACAACAGAGATCCCACCATCTCCACTGTCAGGATTCAAGCCCTGTTTCCCCAGGTGCCGCCCTGGATGGGATGGGCCAAGGCAGAGCAAATCTGGTCTCCCCCATAAAGTATGCCAGGAGCCAAGGATGAGGGCATACTGCACAGGGAACTCCATCTTCCATGCTTGTTGCTGTGTTTTAGATTTGCGGGGTGCAACCTAAGTCCCCAAGGATGGAGAGCTTTTACTTTTTAAGTGGGTCGATGACTCAGAATCGACTCGGTACATCATTGTTTTACATGCTGTTTGGTATGCTATGTAGAAATCAAGAACCAAGCGCTCTCAAATCAGCCACGCACTTACTTGTGTTGAAACTTCCTTGGTAGATGCCTCTGACCTGAGACTGCAGGTAACAGACCACAACCACGTGGTACGTCTGTCCAGGCAGCAGGCCACCGATGACACGGTCAGTGACAGTGAGGTTTTGTCTTAGAACCAGTGACTGGTCATGGGCTGAGGTTACAGTGAGGTCATAAAAATAGGAACTAGAGGGCTCAGGCCGCTCCCAGTGGAGTCTGGCACTGTTCTCCGTGACTTCAGAGACCTGGACTTCTCGGGACACTTTCGCTGAAAGAGCAGAATGCAGAGTGCAGAGTTACAAAGTAAAACTCCTCATGACTGGAACACACACACACACACACACACACACACACACACACACACACACACATACACACACACACACACACACACACACACATACACACACACACACACACACACACACACACACACACACACACACTCGGGAGCTTCAGAAGAGGTCTGGAAGATGTCAGCAGACAGCTGTCCCAAAGCTTGCCAAGAAAGGGAACTAAGGTCCCCTTCATCAGTCGTATCCTCCACCAGCCTGCGTGGCATGTAACTGCACAGTAACAGAGCCCTCCCTCATTCATCAACAAGGTACATAAATAACTACTTTCATCTTCCTGTCAAAAATCACTTAAGATGATACTTTGAAATGTAAGTTCCAGCATGCTAACAGGAAGTTAGGGTGCACTACAAAACCAACCCTGGGATTTCAGACATGGAAAGTCATGACGTTTTAGGGTATGACAAGAACCGGTTGTCAAGAGGTCTCTGTTCTCCCTCTGCTCTTAAAATGAAGACAGTTTCTACTTTTTCGAGAGCATGTATGCCCTAGACTTGTCTTCTTTTATAGCGTATGACATTCTGTAGAATCTTCCTACAACCACTTTGAAAGGCAGGTAATAATACTCCCTGGGTCTCATTAACTCACCCATCCCTCACTAACAAAGTCGGGAATGTACTTTTCTTGGGTCAGAACAAGCACGCTGGTCAGCCTCTGAGGAACAACTGAGTGTCTGAGGTGTAATTTCTCACTTGACTGAACTAATTCCCAATACTGCCACAGAACTCAGTGTGGGACCCCTTTCTGTGGCCACATCCTTTGGGAAGGAACGAAGCAGTTATATCAGCTTCAGTTTAGATCGTTCCAAGTCATATTATAAGGGGAACAAGTTTGGTTCCAGAAAGAAAGAGAGAAAGAAGGAAGGAAAGGAGGGAGGGGGAGGGAGAGAGAGAGAGAGAGAGTAGGAAGGAAGGAAAAGAGGAAGGGGGGAAAGGAGGGAGGGAGGAAGGAAGGGAGGAAGGAAGGAAGGAAGGAAGGAAGGAAGGAAGGAAGGAAGGAAGGAAGGAAGGAAGGAAAGATGGCCACCCTGCTGCCCAAGCAGAACAACAGCAGCAGGTTTTTCCTTCTCTCCGACACATGGCCCACATTCCACATGCGACCAAGGATAGCTATGGATGTGGCCAACACAAAAATCACAAACTTACTTAAAACATTACAGAGCGTTTCTTGTGTAACTCGATGACATAGTTCTCGAGCTTGAACTTTGTAGATAACAGCATCACGCGGCAATGTCAAAGCGTTGGACAGATCCCTGGCCAATTACCCATGGGTGGTGAGGCCATGGGACCCAGAGAAGACTCTACTACTGCTATGTCCCTAAACCAGTGTGATTCCTAACTGCATTCTAAATACTCATCTTTGTACCCACAGATAAATATAGCTTTCGTCCCTCATCAAAGATGCTTCTTTTTGCAACAGAGCCTATTACAGAAAAAGCTACAATTGCTCAAAACGCAGAAACAGCTTGTAGTGGGGTACCCAGCCCTAACTGATGCATCTTCAACACAACCTCTACACCTAAAGCTCAGGGAACACTGTGGAAGGCAGGGAAGAAACACTGGAAGAACCAGAGAAACAGAACATCTACACCCCAGGGAGGCAGGAAGGAGTTGTCTTCATCGGGACCCCAAGCATCCTTGAGAGGTTGTAACAGGAAAAACTGCTTTACGATACAGAGAAAAGCAAAAGGATGTGTGGACAACCCTACATAATGGCTAGCATCTTCGAAAGTCTATCATCTAGCTATGCCAACCTCAGATCAGCAGTCTACCCCATAAACAGGCTTCCAGGGCCATGTCGTTGGAGGGGTAAATTCATACACAAAAGATGGTTCTCTGAGCAGGTTTTCTTACCCAGGGGCTTAGTAGTGGCTGGCTTGGTGGCAGCTGCTTTGGTCTGTGGCCTGGGGGTCTCTGGCTTCGTAGCAACTGTCCTTGAAGCAGTAGCAAGGGGTCTCACTGCCGCGGGCTTCGCTGCTGCGGGCTTCGCCGCTACCGCAGGTTTGACTGTGGCTGTGTTCGTGGCCACAGGTTTGGCTGCCACATGCTTGTTGGCAGAGACTGGCTTCACAGGGGCTGGTTTAGCAAGGACTGGCTGAGCTTGGGCTGGCTGAGCTTGGGCTGGCTGAGCTGGAGCTGGCTGAGCTGGGGCTGGCTGAGTATGCATTGGTTGAGCAGGGACTGGCTTAGCAGGAGCTACTGGTTTAGCAGGGGGTGCCTTAGCAGAGTCTGCTTGCTGAGGAGGGGTTAGCTTAGCAGGGGCTGCTGACTGAGGAGGGGTTAGCTTAGCAGGGGCTGCTGACTGAGGAGGGGTTAGCTTAGCAGGGGCTGCTGGTTGAGCAGGGGGTGGTTTAGCAGGAGCTACTGGTTTAGCGGGGGCTGTCTTAGCAGGGGCTGCTGGTTTAGCAGGGGCTGATTTAACAGGGACTAGCTGAGCAGGGGCTGGCTTAGCAGGTGGCAGATTTACAATTGCTGTTGGTCTGGTTGTTGTCGCTGGCTTCATTGTGGTCACAACTTTGGGCGTATGACTTGAATTAACACTATGTGGAGTGTTTCTGTTAAAAACAAATCAAGCATTACCTGTACCCATGCTTTCGCATGTTATATGAAATAGAGAGTCATAACCCTATGATCTACAGGAAATGTGTGGTTTTAGCAACATGCAGGTACTGGTTTCTGTAGATCTTATATAATATTGTATATACTACATTTCTTACTTTTAGAATCTACCACTAAGAAAATGTTGAACAGCAGATAAAATAGAATCATTCAAAATGATCACATCTATTATAAAGAAATCTGATATTGAAAATCAATTGATGAGAAAAGGTGGAAAGTAAAAGGGAGGAGAATAAATGTTTAACAATGTTCTGATTTAAATAATTAATTGAGTCGTGCATGTCAAAATCAGTACTATTCGATAGTACTATAAAGTATCTACTCATTAGGTGAAGTAGCTCACACTTGTAATCCTAGAACACCGGAAAGATGAGACAGGAGGATTGCTATGAATTTGAGATCAGCCTAGACTATAAATGCCCAGGCCAGCATGGCCTACACAGGAAGACCATGTCTTAAAAAGTCAAAAAGAAAGGAAGAGGGAGAGTAGGGGGGGAAGAAGAGGGAAAGAACTATGTGATGCAATATAGCTGATCCTCAACTCACTTCACACTCACCACACTTAAATCTAGGCTAGCCCTTGGGCATATTTTGACCCATAAGATATGATTTAAAGCAACCATGTGCTAGGACTGGCTTCCATCTCAAGAGGCCTTATACTTAATCCTTTTCTCATGAAAACCCTCGTGGTCAGTTTGTGAACAAGCCCAGGCTAGGACACTGGAAAAAGAGAGGTCATGCGGAGCAGAGATGAACCTTCCCATCTAAGACCAGGCTAGACCAGCCTGTCCATAGCTAAGAAACATATGATCATCAACATAAAGGAAACCAGAAAAAGAAAGAAAGAAAGAAAGAAAGAAAGAAAGGAAGGAAGGAAGGAAGGAAGGAAGGAAGGAAGGAAGGAAGGATGGAAGGAAGGAAGGAAGGAAGGAAGGAAGGAAGGAAGGAAGGAAGGAAGGAAGGAAGAAAAACCACTCAGCTGAACCCAGTGAGAAATTCCTAACCCACAGGATTGCAAATTATTTTTGTTTTAAATCTCTAAGTCCTGGGTACTTCATTATGCAGCAGAAGCTAATCAATACAAAAGGATGCTTAAGACCTCACATTACTTAAAGTCTTATTTTCTATATGTCAGTGTCTCCATCCACAAAGCTTTGGATTGGCTGGAGAACCTCTGCAGCTACTCTTCACTGTATTTGGTACAACAATTATAATTACTTACACATGTTTGTGACCAAATTTCACACCATTCTTCACTGGTTGGTCCCCTTGGAACCAATCACACTGTTTCCTGATATCTGGAGGCAGGTAAAATGCGTTTTCACCTAGAGGAGGAAAAAAAACAAATTTCATGTGAATCATGGAAATTAAAATTAGTGTGTCAATGGGTTGGTTGCACAATACTTGGATAACTCAGTTAACGATAGTATGTCTTCAGTGTGAGAAAGTGGACCAGGACAGAATGCAGCTTTAAGTAGAAAGTATAACAGGTTCCAGACATGACCATCAAATGATGAGCCAGTTCTGCTAGTGTCCTGTGGACACTTTGTTGGGTACACTCTTATTTACCCCTGGGTAGAGCTGAGGCTTGTCATTGCTTCACACTTTCCCCCCAAATGTTCTGTGGAACAGGCCTTCAGAATGTGAATAGGATGTTGTTCATGGACCTCGACTTTCTCTTTAATGATGAATATTCAGCATGGACATGTTTTCTTATATTTTATAGGCCACCCTCATTTGTTTGATATGTGGCCTGTGCTGGTTCACTGTGAACCATGCCAGGCCCTGGCAAATACAACAAACTGGTTGTCCCTATGGAGGATACAGTCTCCAGAGATCACAGGTTTAGAAACAAATGACCCATAAGCCACATAACTGATGCCCTATGTCCCAGTGTCCAAAGGTGGGAACTATTGGAAATTAGTTTTGAAGATAAATGCAGAGCAGCCTCTGAAATAATGAAGGAGGGAATGAGAGGGAGAGTATGTCCCACCCAGAGGCTAGCATGGGTTGGGCATCAAATCCCAAACCAATGCAACCCCTTCTAGAAGCTTCCCTCAACCCTCCCAACAGGGTAGACTTCCTTATGGCACACCAGCATACTAGGTCATGTGTAGTCAATGTGTGTTTGGTCCATTTGCAACCCTAATTGTGAACTCTTTGGAACACCATCAATGCCTCATGGATAGAAAGTACCAGTCAAATGGGCAGAATAAGTGAGCAAAGGAGACAAGGGGTGGTGCCTATGTGTGTCTTGCTGAATCTAGCTCCTAACTCAAGGCACAGGGTAGTCACATACACACACATGCACACACACACACACACACACACACACACACACACACACACACATACACGTGTGTGTTGAATGAATATATACATATATATTTATGTTATGTATATTATATTAATACACATATATTTGTTGAATGAATGGACAAGGTCACATCAGCACATAGATGTGTACAAGTTTTTTGTGACCAGGGTGTGGGTCAGGATGAGGAGAAGTAAAAGATCATCCACCAATATGACATCTCTACAAGTTGTAAGAAAAATTTAACAATCAAATAACATACTTACTGCTGACAAAGGATGGAAGCAGCCTCCCAAAGCGCATCAGAGGCTCCTCGTTGAGCTCAGTTGATTTGTCCACAAGTTTGAAGAAGACATCATTGGGCTCACTGGCAAAGCTGTACACCTCCTTGACGTTTACCTTCCTGCCAATGCCCAGAACCACGAAGAAGTAACCCTTGCACTTAGCCTGCAGGATGGCTCTCTGGGCCTCTTCCAGCTGCTGCCTCTGCATGTCACCAGTCAGCATCAGCACCACAATTTTGAGGTCCCGTGGGTTTGGTGCACTTTCAAAGACATTCTCTATGGTGTACTCAATGGCATTGCCCAGGGCCATGGTTCCCTGCAGCTGGGTCATCCTCCTGCTAAGGAAGTCCAGCAGCTTTTCCTTGGCACCATAGTCTGTCAGTGAGAATTCCACCTTCACAGGGGGCACACTGGCATTGTCCACGGACTCGTAGGTTGCCTGCTGCACGACAGCCACTCTGGTAAAGTGCTGGGAGGCTTTGGGGTCTGGACTCAGATCCAGCTGCCTGACCACGTAGCTTATGTACTTCTTCATCTCATTGAACTGGAACAGAGTAGTAGCCTCTGAGCTATCCAAGATGAAAGCCAGGTCTATGTCCACATCGCTACCTGCTGCCCTCCGGTCCCTGAAGGAAGGCCTCCAGCTGCCAAATCCACAGGATGGGTCAATATTGCAAATGTCTAGAAAAAGAGCATGGTGGCCTATTATCTTGTGGTCCCCGCAGCATCCCCACCTTCTCGGAGTCAGGTGACTACTGTCATCACATGAGATAGAAACTTCGCTAGGAAAGGTGGTGCACATCTATAATCTAGGCACTTGGGAGGCTGAGGCAGGAGAATCACCAGGTTGGAGCAGCCTGGGATGCATACTAAGACTATGCCTCACTGCCCTAATTGTGGCCAGATCTCAGTTTCTGTCCCTTTTTTCACTAGATGAAACTTGTCAGTAACCTAAAGTCTTCCTAATGCTCCATGAGACTAAAACACTCCCGTCACTTGCTATTCCTTAAAGAAATATCTTCTAAAAATACTTTTGAGCCGAACATGTAGGCTCTAGATTCCAAGATGAGAACATCCTTGCATGGCCTTTACATTAGTAAATACAATGAGCCTTGAGTCTTAATTGAACTAAGCTCAACGCCATCACTTTCCATTCAAATGTCCCTCTGTAGTCATAACTTTAGTGGCTGTGACTGGTCAGATCTCGGGCCCAGATGAACAGCTTACCCAAGCAAACATGGCAGGTGAGGACGTTCTTCAGGAAGTCTTTGAGGTCCCCCCTTGCAGGCAGAACCAGGGCATGTCCCACTGCTGTGTTATTGATCTAGTTTAGACAAGGGGGGATGTTGGCATGGACACACACACATATGAAGTCATTATGCAAACAGGGAGTGGTAACAGGACAAAACCAATGAGATAATTTCCCCTCGGCACAGCACCTTATCATTTGGACTCTGGGTACTTAGATGATTGATTAGGCACCAAGTAAATGGTCTGATACATCCCTGATAGAGAGTGGGGGCTAAAATATTATGGTAGTAGCTTTAGCAGTGGCAGAAGCTAGCAAACACTGGTCCATCCTTTCCCTGTTCCCACTCCAGTTTAGCTAGTGACAAGAAAAAAGAGAATATCACTCCCAGATGAAAAAGTCCTGCCTATCATAGTGATTGGCATGTGGCATCCATGTAACAAATAACTAATGTGAATGAGTGAGGGAATTCCTGTCTGATCTATGGAAACCATAGGAATCTCATGTGCTTCTGAGTCATTCAGCTCACACAAAATAAGATGAACAAGAATGTTCCCTCATAAGAACTCATGGCCAGGAACCCAGGTTTAATACTGAATTCCAAACGCAGTGTCTGACCCCAAACCAGCCTAGTTTGGCAGAATAAACACTGAGGGATGGTGGTACTGATGGAACCGTAGCTTGTTGACACAGAGGTTGGTGATCGCCACTGGCAAGACACAAGAGCCCACATCACCCAAGGTCACTTTACAAGAGAGAAACCCAAGACACAGACAGGGGTAATGTGTCATGGCTGTAAGGCAGATAGCAATGAGGACTAAGGACACCTAATTCTGGTCAGGGGCTCCTATCCTCTGTATCTATAATCCATGTGTCTTGACTAGTATCACCAGAAGTGGCCCTGAATAAACACTACTGGCCAATTACAATTAAACTCACAAGTGAGAACAATATGTGTCTTCTCCATAAGCTGTCCTAGGGACCTAGCTAAGGGAAGGTTTTCACAGTGGTGGAGATCTTGAGGACACTCATATTTTGAGGACCTCCTGAGAGGCTGTAGGCCCCGTGACCAGCTCTGGTAGAGTCTCCTCCAGAACAGAGGGGAGTGAGCTGTGTCCAGTACATGGGCCTCAGAGTCTGGTGACCCAGCAGCTCCTCTGCACTTGAGGCCCTCACTAACTCTAAGATCTTCTTAACCATGGGGTGGGAGTGAAAGTATAAAGCTTAGCAATGTGTTATAGGAAGCAAATGCCCAGGACAGGGTCATGAAACTCAAATTGAGCCACGTGGCAGAGCCTTGCTCCCCAGCTAGAACTATCGACATGGATGATGGGACCTGGAGAGAGGAAGTTACAGTCCTCTGGATGCTGGTCCAGTGCTGATGCCGTAGGCTGCTCTAGACACCTCCCAAGAGATCTCAATTGGCCCAGCCTCACTAGGACCTTTTAGAAGCCATAGAACATGAATCCTTCATGGAAAGCACAGCATTCCAGAGAACCTTCTCGGGAATAAGAGGGAGGGGCACCCCAAAGCACCAAGCACAGACCTGCAAAGCGTTGATGAGCTGTCGGTCCTCCTGGCTGGTAAGGAACAAGGGTGTGATCCCCGCATCCGAAAGCTTGAGCATAGCCTCTCGGAGCTGGGGGGATGCTCTCGTGGGCTTATTGCTGAAGAAAACGGCCACTTTTCTCATCAGGAATCCACTCCTCACACGTTTAAACGTGTTCCTGGCCACGAATGACATCGCAGTCTCCAGGCTCTGTTGCTTAGACGTCAAGGCCACTTGGAGGTTCTGAATACTGTCTAACAGGGCGGACTTCTTCTTGGAGTCCGCAAATCGGATCTCCGTGGTCACTTCATTGTTATAGGTGACCACGGCCACTCGGGCGCCCCTCGGGCAGTTGCTCTCAGCAATGGTCAGATCTCCCACAATGCTCAGGAGCACCTCTCGCATCCGGCTGAAGGTGTCCTGAGTGACCCCCTCAGAGGTGTCCAGGGCAAAGGCAAGTTCTGTTGGGAATACTGGGCACTCCAGGGGCCCTGTGGAAAATGGGGTTTTCAGAGATAGGCTTTACTCACACAAAGGAGCCCCCTCTCCTCAGAAGAATGTGAAATTACCAGTACTCACCATAGCAACAAGCTATAAAGGAAACAAAGAGAAGAAAAGATGGAAGCCAGGTCAGTCAGGTGAGAACGGCAAGTGTAAAAACATGATGTGCCATAGGCAACAGAAGAGCGAATACTTACGGCATTTGTCTTTGATGTTTTGGATGAGGGCGCATTGCTTTGAAGGAAAACGGGAGTATTAGAGAGAGCAGATAACAGGTGAGTCAGACAAGAAACAGTTCACTCGGAACACTCACTACTTACATCCACAGAGTCGCCTCGGTTGCCCTTGTGACCCTGTAAAACCAAACAAGGACAGTCTGAGAGAGGAAGCAGATGTGTGCGGTGTGGAATGAGAGAAAGGGACAGGAGAGGAGGGGTGAGTACGATCCAGTCATGGTATGTATACATATGGAAATGGCAGAGTATAAGGAATTACAGTGGCCTGTACAGTGGATGTGTGTTAAGAATTATAATAACGAGAAAAATAAAGACAAAAGGTCTGTCGAGTCATAGGAGCATGATGGGAAGTCATAGACACTGCATAACCTTGAACTTTCACAACCCTCTGTCTAAATTAGATTCCATTATTTGAACAGAAGAAAGACACTTTGGAAGACAAAGCGTTCTCCCTAGGCAGTGAGCTGGCTTTGAAGAAGCACCCTCACTCCTGGAAGCTCACTGTCAATCCACGTAACTTATGAATCTAACCACAACCACCTAGGCCCCTTTCAACTGTTCACGGCAATGAACACAGCTTCCTCCACTACACACATTCTGCACAGCCTGGTCCCTGAAGAAGTGAAGGAAAGGAATCACCACATTGTCCCCTCATGCCCAAAGTCCCTCATCTCTGTGGGATTCTACCCTTAGGCTCTTGGGACAGACTCGCAACTGCCCCCTGTGTCTTGTCCCCATGTTTTGTCAACCTGATGGTCAAGCTTTGCAGGCTACTTGGCTGTCTTTCCCTGAAGAGTTTCTCTTGGCTATTAACCTGAAACAACTGAGTCACCCCAGTAAGTGTGTCCATCCTCAGTCTTGCACCCATCACATCCACAGGCTCAGCCTTCTTCCCTTAGCTTCAAGCAACCCAATCCCTCAAATTTTCCCTCTAGGAGTGCTTGGCTAGCTCTTGTCTGTTCTTCCCTGAACCTCGTGCGTTTCTATACAGGGACAAACCAAATAGGGAAACAGTGGTATCAGTCACAAAAATTCCTCCTGGGCCCTGGAGAAAGCGTGACCCATGGGTTCTAAACAATGAGTCAATGGCTCCCTTAGGAATCTATAGACAAAGGAAGTGCTCCCCAAACACAGATTTGGCCTGGTTGGGCAATTTCTCCAAGATAAAAACTAACGTACTGCAACTTGCTCTCTCAGAAAAAGCCTTTAGTGAGAAATCATAAAGGCCATTTTTATAATATTCCCTGCACCACAGGGTGGCATATAAAACAAATTTATGACTCAGTGGTAGAGTGCTTGCCTGGCATGAATAGGGCCTTGGGTTCAATTCCCAGTACCACAAAAAAAAAAAGCTATTTGTTTTCTTATTTATGGTTCTGGGGACAAAATCCAGGATCTTGTTCACGACAGGCACATGCTCTGCCATTGAGATCCATTCCCGGCCTCCACAAAACATTTTTCAAAGTGTATTATTTCAAATGCTCTTCCCTCCATCATGGCATCAGAAGGGAAGCAGTTTAATAAACAGACAGTCCCACAAGCGCAGGGGACTTTTTGAGGCAAGAAGATGATGGGAAGTCTTCAGAGATCAGACACACCCGTCACCCTTCCTTCCACATAATGACTTGTTATGAATTAGGTGGATACTTACAGATGGCCCTGGGTAGCCAGGGTCTCCCTTCTGTCCAACTACCCCTGGAGGTCCTGAATTTCCCTAGAGGAGGTAGAAGATGGAACAGTCTTAGCTCATGCAGGTGGGAGGGTGGTAGGAGAAAACTATTCCAACCTTCCCCTGTGAGAAGTCTCTCATTTCAGCAGGGCTTGATTGTCTCCAAACTTAGGGATAGAGGACAAATGACCCCAAAGAGTTTCCAGGAGCCTCCACACTGTACACTCTGGCAGGCTTGAGTAAGACAGATGATTTTCCCAAACCATCACTAAAATTCCTGAGTGTCCAAGAGAATTAGCAACTGCCGATCAGTTAGATAACTGTTCATGAACACCAGTAGCCCGTTGTTTCAAACTTATCTAGATTGACTGTTTTTACTGGTCACATTAACTGGGTAGTTATTGTTATTAACTATATTTCAGGCTAAAAAAAACCAGCTGTTAGTAGCATGTATCTACTGGACCACGAATTGAGATTCCATCCAATATTAGGAGGGTAGGTGAATGATCACTGAAGACAGAAATCCAGAGGCATTAGTGGCTTAAGTGAGAGGTGTCTCTGAAACCGGGGAATGGCTCACCTGGGATGCTAGAGGCCTCCTGACCAGCCCACACCGCCCCCCCCCCCCCATTAAGCCCTGCTCCCTCACTGAACAAACATGGCCAGGTGGGACTATGAAGACTGACACCATCCAGCCTGGGACCTAAGCCTCCCTGGCATCATGCTGAGGTAATCTGTGGGCTAGTGACTTTTGAGACATGCTATAAAAAGGGCTGTCAGAGCCTCCCTCAATGGGGCATGGCTGAAGAAGGACAGCACAGAAAAGGGCTATAATGGACCATGAGGACATTGGTTTGAAACTTGGAATTCCCTTCTACTGCCTGGGCTGTCACTGATCAGGCTAAGAAAGAAGAGGATTGTCTTTTAAAGGCTCAGCATCCCATCCTGTTGCTATGAGCCTACTCATTCCCACCTGCAGCAAGGTGTGGGCGAACTTACCCTTCGGCCTCTGATACCTTTGGGTCCTGGTGGTCCATCTGCCCCTGGCTCACCAGGGGTACCCTGGGAAGAGAGCCAAGAAATGAAATGTCAAAGTCTGCAACAGAAGGTCCTGCTGAGGGTCCCTGGGGCAGGATTCCAACAGGGCATCTGGACCACACTTTCCAAGTAGTTCACAGGTTCACTTCCACAAATGGCTCCAGTGTATTGGTGTCACGTGAAGAAAGCCTAAATTTATTCCATCACTGGTGTTCCTGCCACGTGGGGTATGACATTTACAGGTCCCTGATTCTTCCACTGTCCACATAATCTCAAGTACCATGGGCGAGTACAGCCCCCTCCACCCATACAAGAGGGAGCTTCTTAGAGAGTCAGAGACTTTCCCAGTGTGGCCCTGTCCTGAGGGGCTGACACAAGACTGAAGTTGAGACATTCTGATTTCAGCTCGTGGGAAATGCCAGGCTTCTCCAGAAGCAATGCTGTGCTCCATCACCCAGGGCACTCACCTTTGGTCCTGGATAGCCAGGGAATCCTCTTTCTCCCTGTAAAAGACAATAAATGCTTCAGTATCAGGTCCCAACTTACAGGCATCTAAAATCGATTTTGATACAAGATGTGAGAAGCCGTCTTGGTGACTCTCAACAACAGGGCTTGGTTTCCTCAGAAGCTTCGGCAGATACATACTTTTTTGCCTCTGCGTCCTTCACTGCCAATCCCGTCTCTCCCATCATCTCCCTAAGGGAAACAGAGAGAAGGTTACTGCAAGCCATTGCATCAGGCACCTCACAGCCAAAATGTCACATTGTCCCCACCCTCAACAGAGGGTGAGGGCGTGAATGTTTTCAGACCAAAAGACAAGAGAGAGAAGTCTTCCCATCTCTGTGCCCTCCTCCACAGGTATGAGCAAGGTCATGTCCACAGAGATGCTCAGGTCTATGTGAACATTTATCTGTGAGGCTTCTTCAAAACAGGAAAGCTGACCTTGACCTCTCAGACTTCCTGAGTCTTCTGAGCTTAGGTCTTACTCTCCAATCGCCAAGCCCTTCATGTCCTAGCCTGTCACCCATTCCAGACACCCTCCTCCAAACACCTGGCTTCTCTGTCCCCAGGCCTGTGCCCACCATCATGCAAGGCATTCAGATTGAACACTGCTAATCACTCCACAGCAGGAGAAACATGTTGGAAAGACGTATCAATACTTTAAAGCTTGAGATTATAATCATCTGCCAGCTGGCACTTTCACACAGTCTTCAGAAAGTGGCTTGTTTAGAGAAACCGCCAATAGCCTATAGATTTCTTTTTCATCCATAAAGCTGCCAATGAAACAAAACCCACTTTGCAATGAGCAGCTTTCACAATTTTCAACCGTATTCCCAATAACTCAAGCAGGGAGCCGCAAGCCTCTCTGGGTCCCGGCTTTCTGCACCTGTCCTCAAGATTAGTGAGTCCTGCAGGGCACTGGGTGGCCTTACCGTCTCCCCACGGGGTCCACGGTTCCCAACGCCTCCCTTCGGCCCTGGCTCTCCTGGCTCACCCTACACAGGGGAAGAAAGGATGACACACTGAGTGGAGGCTGGCTCATATTTCACCTTTTAGGTTTCCATGAGGCCGATTTTTAATTGTAATAAGTCAGGCACAGCAAGACAAGTGCCCCATCTGCCTCACGCATGAAGCGGCAAAGGCTGGCGTCGTGATAGAGTGGAGACCCATGATCAGTAGGGATAGAGGAGTGGGGGCCAGAGCACAAATGAGCAATAGGTACCAGCATGCAGTTAGGCAGGAGTGGAATGTTCTAGTGGGTACTGTGGGATGGCTGTAGTTCATAACAATTTATTATGTATTTCAACCAGAAGAGTTTCCAGGGTCCCAAGACAAAGAAATGACCGTTTCTCTGACCTTATCATTATATGTATGTATGAAATTATCACATTGTGCCCTACAAATAGGTACTGCTACATACACAATTTCAAAATGCTAAGCGCAGGGGCTGGTGAAAAGGCTCAGGAAGTGCTTTTGCTACCAAGCTTGACAACCTGGGTTCAAACCCCGAATTCCATGTGGAGAATCAAGAAAACCAAATTCCGCCAAACTGTCCAATGACTTCCACATACCCATTGTGGTGTGTACACAGCCACATACATGACAGACAGACAGACAAACAGACAGACGGATGAACAGACAGAGGAACGAACGGATGGATTAAAATTTTCAATAAAAAACAAAATACTGACTATACTTTTTTTTCATGATCTCACTATGTAGACTAGGCTCACCTGACACTTACAGTAATCCTCCTGCCCCACATTCCCACCAAGTACTAAGATTATAGGCATAGCCACCACAAGTGGCTATGTAACTACCTTTTTTTTCATTTTTGGGGGGGGTGTTTTGAGACCTCTACATAGTCCTGGCTGTCCTAGAACTCACTATTTAGACCAAGCTGGTCTCCAGTTCACAGAGCTTCACCTGACTCTGCCTCCTGAGTGCTGGGATTAAGGATATGCCCCACCACTAATTGTAACATTCAGTGGGGGGAATCGGGGCAGGGTGTTTGTGACCACTGATGCACAGGGGTTAGGCTGAAGGGGAAGGGGGGCAGGCAGCAGGGAGGTGGGCAGCATCCAGTTCAGCACAGGCCTCTGTCCTTAGCCAAGCACTACTGTTCTCCAGACAAACCTTCCTCCCCAGGGGACCAGTTCTGCCACGTTCTCCAGGAGCCCCAGCAGTGCCTCCACTTCCCTGTAAGGCAAAAGAGGGGTGTACATGAAGCAACAACTGTCCAGACCAAGGATCCCGGCTGTCCCCTGTCAGAGGTCACAAGTGACCTGTCTCACCCACAAATCCCAAGCACTCGGTGATATTCAGCGCTATCCACTCAAGCCCACAGAATCACAGAGCAGCTGCTGCGGGGTCCACACTGTCAGCCACTCCTGCATCAGCTCCACCAGCCAACACACACTCCGGCTGTCACACTCAGAGGCTTACCCGAGGTCCAGGAATTCCTTGTTCTCCAATCAGGCCTGGGGGACCAACGGGACCAGGAGGACCCTGGGGAGTGAAAGGCCATGTCACAGGTGAGTGCTGTTGAGCTGAGCCTATGAAATCCTACGACTTCTAGGTAACCAAAGAGTGGTAACAACCCAAATGCTAAGCAACCAGTGAACGGAAAAACCGTTCTTCATCCATGTGGTGGAATATTATTCAGCCATTGAAAGGAGTAAAATTCTGGCACGTGCTAGAACATGTCTGGAGTTCCAGAAAACTATATTAAGTGAAAGCAACCAAATATAAAAATCCACCTATCAAGTCCAGATAGGCAAATCCATAACGACCAGTGTTAGCCAGACGTAGAGGGCATCAGGGTGTGGGAGGCAATAAAGGTGGGGGGCAACAGGGATGGAGGGGTAGGGTAGAAGGTGACGGCAGTTAGGGTGACAGTTGTGGGGGTCGATAAGGGTGAGGGGACATGGGTGGGGATGACGAAGGTGGAGGGTAACAGGTGGGGGTTGATAGGGTAGGGGGCAATAACGGTAGAGAGCAGTACGGAGGGTGAGGGTGCAATGCCTCCCCTGGGGTTAGTAAAATACTTTAAAATTATCACACAACACGGTGAATGCTCTAAGGGCTGTGGAATTGTTAGTAAAGGTCAAATCTGGGTTACGTGACCATCACCTCAATTTAAAAGGGACAGGGGTCTCCGGGGAATACTACAAGGCATGTGTCATGCCAGGGTACTGACCTGTGAGCCTCTGGTACCCTGCTCCCCCTCGAAGCCTGACTGGCCAGGACCGCCCCTGTTGCCCTTGGAGACAAGACAAGCAGGTCAATAACCCCAGCTCTCTTTTCTGGGCTGAGGAAAGGGTACAGATGGCTGGTGACAGGAGGGGCGAGAACCTGCTCTCGGGGGCGGTAGCCGTCTCTCTGAGCCTACACAATTGTCACTTGCCTGTTCCAAGGGGCAGCTTTGAGAAATAAGGATAATGTGAACTGAATTCTCTCTGGCACAGGCAAGAAGGCCAGATACATGGGCATGCCCGGCGGAGGGCTGCCTAGAACTCCACCTGTCAGCCATCTTCCTTCCTTCCACCCACTCTGGAAATCACATGAAACACCTTCTATTGTAGAAGAGGCTGAGTTTGAGAAATGATGGAGAAGAAGGCAGAGGTTTTTTACACTGTTGGCCAGGGAGAATATCTTAATCCCTAGGCTGATGGTGTCTGGGAGTCTCCTGGGAAGCTGGGTGACTGAGAGACAAGAAACATGCCAATCCAGCCCAGTGGTTCACCTTAGCTCCTGCAGGTCCCCTTCGGCCAAAGCCACCCTGTGGGAAGAAGCCATATGACTTTAAGGGGAATGCTGAGTCCTAACACACGTATCCACCCATTGTAGAGCAAACTCCATGCCAGAAACTAGCCTGTCTGTCTAGGAGGCTGGTGAGCTCACACTGAGACCTCCCTGCCTTCTTTCCTTCCCCATCGCCAACAGGTTCTCCTTCTGTGCTATGCCTGCTTGTTACTCCAGTGGAAGTTTGGGAATGACTCCTGACCTGCCAAGGAAAATAGTGGCTTCTGGCTGCAGAACCCCAGCCAGTTCCCAGAGAAGAATGAGAAGCAAGAATTCCAACCTTCCTATTGCGCTAACTCAACAGAGCCGGGATGCTTCCCCGTGGTAGAGAGAGTCCTGGGTTCTCAGCCCTCCTGGCCAAATATAACAAGATCAACCCCAGTACACACATGTGAACCTGAGAGTTGGGCTTATGTCTTGGCAGCTTCTCCCTGGGTGTTCCAGAGGTGAGCCTTAGTTTAAAAATATGTGGGCTCACTGCAGAAGGACCCAGGGATTCCCCACCTTGAGACTGCTCCAGTGGAGAGCTGGGGGAAGGGATCTGTGGGTGTGCCAGGCTATCTGGGCAAGGCCAGTGCTTTGTAAACGTAGGAGCCACATTCTCCATCCCCAGGGTGGTCAGCCCAGGAATGCACAGTAGCTACTCCTCAGCCTCCACAGTGCTGTTCTCCCGCCTTGGGTCAGTGTGACTATGAGGGCCACTCCTGTCCTGCACAGAGCAGCAATCCAGACCCGCTCGCTCCTCCCTAAGGAACATCCATCAGACTCAGTGTTTCATCGCTCAGTGGCAGCCTGCAGAGGCCAGAGGAGGCAGCCGAGGAGTGCTCGGACCCGGTGGAGCCCATCTTAGTCTGTGTTTGGCAGAGCAGACTCCTCAGGGAAGGGACAGAAGGCCTGTCTGTTGCTCCTCACCCTGAGGCAAATTTACTGTGTTCCATCCCTTGGCACTTAGCGAGGGCCTACATTGAAACTAAAAGAGGCCCTGAGTTCCAACAGGAGTTTCTACCTCCAGCATTACCATACCTCCCCCAACCATCCCCCAACCCCCAACCCCCCCACCCCACCCTCCCCACCCCACCCCCACACTGGACTTTCAGCCCTGTCCTAAAATTGTTTTGAGAGCTGGGTTAAAACAGCTGGTGATAAGCCGGGCGGTGGTGGCGCACGCCTTTAATCCCAGCACTCGGGAGGCAGAGCCAGGCGGATCTCTGCGAGTTCGAGGCCAGCCTGGTCTCCAAAGTGAGTTCCAGGAAAGGCGCAAAGCTACACAGAGAAACCCTGTCTCAAAAAACCAAAAAAAAAAAAAAAAAAAAAAAAAAAACAGCTGGTGACATCAGCCTTTGTCTCCATGTGACTCAACCATATTAACCCCCCACCACACCCAGACTTTTACCTACAAACTCAAGTTCACAAACCTGTATGGTAAGCATTTGGCAGACTGAGCTAGCTCTCCAGTCTAATGTCCAAACTTTTTAAGATAACAATTTAATTTTTGTTTTAGGAACTTAGAAGCCATTTGAGTGCAAGGGTGTCACCGCTCTGGGACGCCCTGTGCCTCAGGAACTCACTGTGACTGTCAACTGCTGGGCCCAGCTCTGCTGGGGATCCTGAGCTGCCCAGCCCAGCCTGCCCCGCCCCCCCCCCCCCCCCCCCCCCCCCCCGCTAACTTCTGCACTCCCCGAGGACTGTGACCTCCTGGCCACTTCTTCCTCCTCAGGCGGGACCCCTCTTCTCCCAGCTACCAAGACCCTGCTTTCTGCTTGCCCGGGAAGCTTTCAATGGGCTTCATGACAGCTATGGCTTCACCTTGGCTTCCACATTTCTTCCGTGACTAAGTGTGCAATGAGTCGTTCAACAACACACATTCCAGAAACGTATCGAAAACACAGTGTGCTAAACCACAGTGCACCTAGTTTCCTTATGTGAGTGGCACCAAAAAAGAACAAAAAAAACAAAACCAAAACAAAACAAAAACCAAGAGTTATACAAGCAACGAGTGTCTGCTTCAGCCTTCTACCCCCCTCTGCCCTCAGCAGCCGGCATCAGCTGTTAGGACGAAAACAGCAAAGACCTTTTTCTTTTTCCTTTCTCTTTTCTTTTTTTTATTTTTGATTATCTAGGGTTTTCTTTGAAAGAACAAAGGACTGAGGGAAGGAGAAGCGACAGGTGACAGAGGAAATGAAGAATAAAAGTTTTTTCTATACGCAATAAATTTGGTGTAAAGATCCACGTCTTGCCTTCTGCCTTCCCCCAACGGGAACACAAGCATGAAGCATGCTAGCTATGCTCTGTGAAGGCCCTATGCTGTGCTCTGGGGCCTCCCTAACACCTCCAGAACCGTGAGCCAAGCAACATTAAATCAAAAGCCAAAAGGTACTCATTTTAAATTGATGCTAATTGTCTTGTTTTGGGTACTGTGTCTGTACAGCATAAAATACAGATGGTTTCAGGAATGACTCTATCCCCTCCTCCCCCAGTAAGGAGCTGCTCCATATCAGAATGCCAGACACCAGGCACCAATCTCTTGCCACTGAGCAGCCTGGCAGTACACAGCATCCTAAGATACTCACATCCTTCCCAGGGTCTCCTGGCCTTCCCGGGACGCCATCTCTGCCTGGGAGACCCTGGTGTGGGGAGAAAAAAAACAGCCTGAGATTCTCACCTGCAGAGAACATTACCCCACCCCAGAGAATGTTGCTGGAGATACGGGGGGGGGGGGGGGCTATTCCCAGGGTGCGAGTCTGTCTACAGGAGGACAGAGATCCGGACATTCTTGCGGGACAGTGCTGCTGGTCTCAACAGACTCTGCAGCTCATGGGGGCTGCAGTTGGTGGGGTGTGATTGACACAAGAGTCAGTTTTCTGCCTTGAGCACAGAGGGTCTCTGGGTCTGGATCACTGTACCATGGGGCCGATGTCACCCGTCTCTCCTTTGGGTCCTCTCTGCTGGCTGTCCCGTCCTGAGTCACCCTGAAAACGACAGGGGTTGGGGAATGAGCCCCATATGAGGAAAGCTTCAGCCACTGGAATTCTTAGTAGCAGCATGAAGGGAAGGTTCTCAAAATGGTGCTCCGAGCTACATCCTGCCCAGCTAACGGCCAGAGCCTAACCATGGCCCTGACTGGGTGGCTTAAGTCCTTCCCTACTGAGAACATTCAGCCTCATTTTCCATCCTCTACCACAGAGGCAGGTGACCTGCAGAACAGGCCATCTCAGCAGTGGCCTTTGACTTAAAGGGTTTCCAAACCACGAACTACGGAGAGCTGCATAGATTCACTTTTTAAGGCGAGTGCAAAGTGTCCCAGAGGGCATTCCCAGACACACATCTACCAAGTGACATGCAAACGCTTGTTGTAGTGGAAACAAATCAACTCCAATGAACCCCCCCCCAAAAAAAAAAGAAATTGAAAGGATAAATTTCATATTTTATCAGCACATTTTAAAGCAATTTCAAAACATAAGCCACTCCTTTCTTCTCCCATAGCCTCCCCCCATGAAATCCACAACAGAGAATCTTCCTTACCGGGTCGCCTCGAATGCCAACATCTCCTCTCTCTCCCTTCTCTCCTTTGGGTCCTTTGTCGCCCTAAATCAGTCACACAGAGGAAGTGAAAAACTAGACATTTCCGGTGGAATCTTTTGACAGTTATTTTATCGAGTGTTTGAGATTTATAACATGATGCTGTGAGATATATACAGGTGTGGGATGGTTGCTATGGTGAGGAAAACGGTTGTATCTATTGTCCCACTCAATTGCCTTGTTTCTGTGATCAAAGCAGCTCATGTCTCCTATTCTGACCGGAATCTTTTTCACTTGGTAGTCCAGGCTGGCCTCGAACTCTCAGAGATCTGCCTGGCTCTGCCTCCCGAGTGCTGGGATTAAAGGCGTGCGCCACCACCGCCTGGCTCTGACCGGAATCTTAATACAGCAGTGTTTATTAATTATAACCTTCATGGCATACATTAGAACTCTAGATCATTAATCAAAATTACATTCCCCTTTTTGTAAGTCTCATGATAACACCTGCTGCCACTTCCTACTTAGCGTGAAGCTGGAGAAAAGCCACTTCTTTTCTAAGATAATTTTTTTTTCAAGTATGTATACGTGTCTGTGTGTGTGTGGACCCGAGTGCAGTGTCTGCAGAGGCCAGAAGGGGGCATCATATCCCCTGGAGTGGAAGTTACGAGCAGTGATGAACCATCCAAGCTGAGTGCTGGGAACTGAACTGGGGTCCTTTGTAGGATTAGCATATGTTTTCAACCACTGAGCCATCTCTTCAGCTCCCAAATCACATCAAAACATTTCTGATGTGTTTGGCTAGTCCACAAATGTTTCCTGGGGAGCCACTCAGTGCCGGTCATTGGGAATTCATTTATAACAGAACAAACTCTGTCTCCACCCTGTAGAACATGCTTTCCAACAAGGAAATAGCATATAGGGTGTAACAGCTGAGAGGGGACATCACTCATACATCTACACACAAACCCATGGAAAGAATATTAACTGGTCCCTGGAGATGGTCTTATATCTTCCCCTGCCCCTGGGAACAGTGAGATAATGGGACACCTACCCTTCTTCCAGGACTCCCCTGTTCTCCAGATGAACCCGGTAACCCCTTGTCTCCCTGTAAAGACAATGAGAGTGGGTCATGTGATGTGACAGCTCCTCCAGACTCAGCTGCTGGTAACTGGGACCTCAGGAATAGAAGCAGTTGGAACTTGGGAAGTAAAGTCACCCACCTCTTCACCATCCAGACCATCCAAGCCAATTTCCCCCAGTTCACCCTGAGAAGAAAGACACAGACAGTGAGTGGAATGAGTTATCCCAGCAAGGGAAAGTAAGAAATACTGGGGGGCATTCACATTAAAACAAACAGACTTTAGTACCTTCTCTCCTGGGAATCCTCGAGAACCCTGGAAGGTAAGGGAACAAAGGAAACATGAGTGGATCAGGGCCAGTCCCTCAGGACAGATGCCAAAGGATGCTCCCCCACCCCGGCCTGTGTCTGAAAGCCCCTGGCTATGAGGGTTCTACATTAAACACATATTCTGGCTTCCTCTCCCACCGCCAAGTGGGGTGCTATAAAGTGAATGTGCCTGGAGGTGAATACTTGGGTGGTCTTCATCTCTGGAAAGGAGAGGTAAATCCGAAGACAGAAGGGCAGCTTCATAACTGGCAGTATGCTGGCCTTTCCCTTCCACCCTGCTCTCCATGTCGGCAAGCAGCTGCCCCTGGAATCCTATGCAGTTCAGGCTGCACCTCTTCCCCTGGCTCCTCCCAGCCAGCCTGTGGCACCTCGTGACTGGCTCCTGGCTGCTTAATGTTTCCACAGGAAACCATTTCTCCGCTCAGGCTGCTTTCCAGCCATAGCCTCTGCTCTGGACTCCTGACCCACCCACTGCAGAGCTACCCTCAGTAAGAGACCCTGGCTACTGGGCACTAAGAATGGAGAAACCCGGGCCCGCAACCCTCCCTCCCCAAGGCACACGGAGAGGTCGGATCCTCCCCGCATGCACGGTCCTGACTCTCCTACACCCCGGATCCATACTGTACCTTGACTCCTCTCTGGCCTGGGCAGCCCTGGAAACCTTGTGTGCCATTCACACCAGGTGGACCTCGCTCACCCTGCAAAGAAAACAAGGGCATGTTGCACTCTGGCGTCCCTTGTCTGGTGGCTCTTTTAACTCGGTCTCAGAGAATGGCATGCAGCATGGAGAGGGCGTCACTGGAACCAGGCTATGTGTGCCAACATCCCCAGTCCCCTAGCTCCTGGCTGAGCAAGAACTCACAACCTTATGGGGGAAATAGACTCTGGGATGGTAGCAGCACCCAGGGCCTACTGCCTGACTGGCTGAATATCAGTGACCCTGACACCCAGTATGGGTGCTGGGTCCCATAGAAGTTCTTTCCCTTGACCATTCCTCTGTATTGCCATGGTTTCCAGCTGTCCCATGACAACAGAGTCAACACTGACTCCCTTATCTAAGCTGGACACCTGGAGGTCTCTTACTCTCCCAGGAGCCCCTCCATCCCATATCCCAGAGACCCTTGTTATAGGGTCCCAAAGCCTCTCAGACTTGTCAAAGTCTTGCTACATAATAGCTCAGGCTGCCCATCATCCCCCTGCCTCAGCCTCTCAGAACCTGGGATTAGGGGTGCTTACACTAATTTCTGCTCATATTCACTTAAGTGGGCACTGGGCACACCATACTTGGTGGCCCCCTGCCTAACCTTTCTCCACTCTGAAACAGATCAAGTCTCCACCTGCATGCCACATCCACAACTATCACTTTCAAAGAACCTCATTGCTCATAGCATGGAAATGCAAGGAAAATGATTAACTGGGTTAGGAAATAATTTTTCTCCTAATGAGAAAGGCCCTGGCCACCAGACAGATGACAAACTCCACTGTTCTGTCCCCACTTGGGAAGAACTAGAGCCAGTAAAAACTTGAGGGAAAGGTTAACTTTTACTCACGGGTCCACCTTCATCACCAGGGTAGCCTCGGTAGCCATCTTCCCCGGAGATACCCTGAAATAAAGCACATGAGTCCCCATGACACCTATGTTCTGCATAAAGCATCTCATCAGTCCCTTCACTGGGTGGGGCTGTTCTGAAACTCAGCGCGGCAGTAAGGCAGTAGGTGTTGGCCAGAGCCAAGAGTGCTGCCCACTCACTATTCAGTGATAAACCTTTCCATCAGGATAGTTCAGGCTCTTCCTTTACCAAGAGAGCTGGTGGCACTCCTTCAAGGCAAGCGCTAAGGGTCCCACTGACCCACATCGTGAGGCTGCCAGTGGGTTTGCACAGGTTTTCACATTGTTTTATAGAAGTGACAAATCCAGATGTCCAAGAGCAGGAAGAGGGGAAGGTGGCAGGTGCTTGGGCCTTCTCCGTCACCAGCAAGACACACCCTGGGGATACCAGCCGGAGACCAGAATTGGCAATACCACTGGGGCTCTTCTCCCTCTCATGTCCATACACGATATTGGAGAAGTCACTCAGCTAAGTATTGTCGGAACCTGAAGTCTAGCCTGAGGTGTGACGAGTCCAAGTGTCTACCTTTGGCCCGATGCTGCCGATGGGCCCTCTGTCTCCTCTCTCTCCAGAGCACTTGCATGGAACCCCACAGCAGGCTTTCTCAGCAATGTTGTCCTGCCAAGAAAAAATAAAGAAAAATAAAGAAGAGAAAACAGAAAGCCACCAAGGTGCTGGTAATAGCCTCAATCTGTGGCACACACGATGGAGCGACCTAAAGCCACGTCCTCCAAGCTGGCTACTGCTGAGGCTCAGCTCTTGGCATAGGGTGGGATGCCATTGTTGGAAGAGAAAAGAGCAACCAACTATGATAATTCTTATCCACACTGTCCTAGACTAGGCCCAGTTTTCAGAAATTTCCGATACAGATATTCAAGGTTTGTATTTTCAGTATAACCTCCATCTGTCTAAACCTCAAATATAAAATCCAACAAATACTTTGAAGCCGGCTGAGGTCAAAGAAGATTCAAAATTAGAAATTCGTGGCCTGCCGTCCTCTGAGCCATGGTCAGACTCGTGGAAATCAGTGCTTGCCTGGTGGAGTCCCTGGAGGGTGGGCAGCATGTGGGAACCTAGGCTCTGAGCCGCAACCACCACAATGTGTGTCTCTAACACCACCAGCCCCCTCTGTATCCCTCCCTCACCCATCCCCTGACCTTACACATCCCGATGTGTTTACATTGCCATGCACTGAACTAGCTCGTCACGCACGCTCTACGGCAGTGAGCTCCCCTACAGTCTTTGTTTTCTGCCCTGTTCTAGTCTGAACCTGCTTCTACCCAATTAAAAACAATCTAATTTTGTGTGACAGAGAGAAGTGGAGAAGAAGAAGGGGCAGAGCTGGTCCCTCCCACTCTTACAGCATTAGTCACTATCTGAGAATCACTGGCCCCACTCCCCACCCCCACTCCCCATCCCAGGAGGCAACTGCTCTCACTGAGAGAGGAGCCCAGAAGAGGAGGCAAGGAGAGGACTCTCCCACCAGGGAGTGGTCTCGTCTCTCTTTCCCTGTATAGTCTTGATCCCATCATGCAGATAAGGCAGATGCCATATCCAGGACTCACACAGCAATAAAAGAGGTCTCAGGTGAATTAAATGACACACCCAAATCCCCTTCCCCCAGTCACCAGGCCATCAAGTCATCCGGCTTTGCTGTCTTGAGACGCCAAACATCTCAATTAGTGTGTGTGCAAAACTCTGAGAGAAACAAAGACTCACAAGCTGCTCTGCCAGCTCATAATCCAAGTCAAGCAAGTTGAGCCTCAGGGGCCTGTCGTACATGAAGCCCCGCCCAAACTCCAGCTGCTGCGTCAGCCGCTCCAGGTTGGCCACACGTTCAAGGCCCACCAGGATCAGGGCTCGGACACCTGGGAGAGAAGAACCATTTAATTAATACACCTCGCCTAGGCATTAGAGAGCCAGATGTCATTTTTCTTCACTCTGGTTTTGTTCTGTTATCCAACTTTGGGTTTTTATTTTGTTGTTGTTGTTCAATTTACATTTTTGGGGGGGCGGAGAGTGAACACAAGTACCACATGTGATGGTCAGAGGACAGCTTGGAGGAACTGATTTCCTCCTTCTTCCCTCTGGGTCCCTGGAAACTGAGCTAAGGTTAACAGGCAAGATGGCCATTGCCTTTACCCAGTGAGCCATCCCTCTGGTCCATGCTGTTTGCTCTGTGGTGATCCTGGGAAAATGAACCACCACACTGGGAACATGAAGTAGGCATGCTATGCATACTTTCTACAACTGAGATACATCCCCAGCCCTTTGCGTGTGTTTATTTGTTTGTTTGTTTTTAAATAAAAGTTCACAGTAAAGTTTTGCTGTAACCCACACATGCTTGATGAAACCAATCTGCTTCTTGGAAGAGTTGGAATGCTGCCCTCTTCTGAGTAATTGGAGTGATGCCCGTGAAGCACATCACCTCTGACCCTACAGAGGAGAACTGAAGTATTAATGCATCTGACAGCGGGTCACAGCAGGTCATTTCCACTGCGTTGGGGGCAGGGTTCAACTAGTAAATAGAATGTGCTTTAGTGGGTCTGGAGAGATGCCTCAGGTGCTTAAGAGTGCTTGCTGCTCTGGAAGAGGACCCAGGTGCAGTTCCCAGCATCCATAATGGGTGACTCACAACTCCAGTTCTAGGGGATCAAACACCTCTGAGGACATCTGCACACACTTGGTCCATATAAACTCTCTCTCTCTCTCTCTCTCTCTCTCTCTCTCTCTCTCTCTCTCTCTCTCTCTCACACACACACACACACACACACACACACACACACACACACATACACACACAAAATAAATAAATAAATAAATAAATAAAACTTTTTTTTTAAAGAAAGTGTGCTTGGATAGCTCTGCTTCCTTAACATCTAGAGCAGTGACTCTCAACCTGTGGGTCATGACCCCTTTGGGGATCACATATCAGATATCCTGCATATTAGATATTTACATTACAATTCATAACAATAGCAAAATTACAGTTATGAAGCAGCAATGAAATAATCCTATGGTTGGGAATCACCACATCATGAGGAACTGGATTAAAGGGTCTCAGTGTTAGGAAGGTTGAGAACACTGCTCTAGAGCCTCTGGCTTCGGCAAATGCTTGATTGTCAACAGCGGGACATTCCAAAGCTCACCTGACCAAGCCAGGCTGCCCATCCAGTCATGGGCAGGTCTGCTTGATAAGAACTTACGTGACTTATTTCACATTAGTTATACTAATTTAAGGGATGAATACTGGTTGTGTTATAGTTAGCGGTTTAACTACGAAGCTGTGAGAACTGGAAACCGATAGTGGGGCAGCTTTCTAGTCAGCTCCTGCCATCCTTAGTGTATGTGATGGCCTTGAATGAACTAATACTTGAGCTCTTTTGCAAAAGCCTCACTAATTCTGGATAGTCCCCTGGTAAGTGTGTCTGTGAAGCAGGGCTAGGATCTGTCACTAAAGCTGTCCCTTGCTCAAAAGTAACTTCAGTACCCTATGTTATAGCCCAAGCAGGGAATGACGGGCCAAGATGCAGGGCTAGAGCCTCTGATGGCCCACACCCCAGGACTCCATTGATAGAGTTCGCTCAGCAAAGTGGCAGGTCTGCCTTGGACAACGGGGAGGGGCTTACTTCTCACACTGAGGAAGCCTGGGACCCACCTTCTTGCCGGAGTTCCTCTGATGCTCTGTGTAAGTCAGCCAGGTCTCCATCCGCTCCATCCGTGAAGTGAATGACTACCTATAAGCAACAGAGGAGTCAAGGCTCACCCTACTGCCAGGGAGCATCACAGACAGTCGGAAGGGAACTGAGGGGGGTGGTGAGTTCAAATTCCCCATCTACAGCAAGGAGACTATAGGCCAAGGTCAAGGGCACTGTGCTATCAATGTGTAACATGAAGGAATGTGCATCCATTTTAGAATTATCTTTAAAAACTACAAACAATGACAAAAAAGTTTATCTCATTCTCATACTTATGAGAAACAGTTTCTAGAAATTGTGTGTGTGTGTGTGTGTGTGTGTGTGTGTGTGTGTGTGTGTGTGTGTGTGTGTGTGTGCTGGACTAAACTGTGTTGAAATTCTGATTTCTGGTACCTTAGAATGTGACTGCTTTTGCAGGCAGGATCTTAAAGAAACAACTAAGCTGAGTGAGATTGCTGGGTGGCCCCTAATCTAGTCTGTCTGGTGACCTCCTAGGAGGAACCCATTGAGCCACAAGCAGCCAGAGGGATGACCCTGTGAGGACCCAAGGAGAAGGCTGCCATTTACAAGTCAAGCTGAGAGGCTTTGGAGAAAAGCAGGCCTGCCCAGGTCTTAACATGAGCCTACCAGCCTCCAACACTGTGAGAAAGAAATTCTTGTGGTTTAAGGCACTGTGCCTATGGTATTTTGTTTGGCAGCCTTAGCAAACAAATACAGCATGAGTGTACATTGTGTGTGTATGTGTGTGTGTGTGTGTGTGTGTGTGTGTGTGTGTGTGTGTGGTGTGTGTGTTATGTGTTGTGTGTATGTGCAGTGTGGTGTGTGTGTGTGTAGTATGATGAGTGTGTTATGTGTATGTGTGATATAGTGTGCGTATGTGTGTGAGTGTGTTATGTGTGTCTGCAATGTGGTGAGTGTATTATGTGTGGTATGGTATATGTGTGTGTTGTGTGTATGTGCAGTGTGATGAGTATGTGTGCTATGTGTATGTATGGTGTGGGGGTATGTATATGGTTTGATGTGTGTGTTTGAACATGTGTGTATGATGTGTGTGTGTGTACAGAGAGAGAATACAAACAAACAGCATATCTTTAACGAGACTATAATTAAAAGTGGGTCTGTCACAAATCCAACTCTTCCCAGCTGAGTTACTACTAATTTCTAGGACACTGGGGGCTTAAAGGGCTCTAACAAGACAAAGAAGACACAGGGAATTACGGTCAGTCCATAAGAGAGTAACTCTCCTCACAGGCGCTAACAACCCTGTCCCACCCTTTGTGACACACGCCCAACACTCAGGATGAGTTTCCAGAAGCCAGAGGAGCTGCAGCACACGGAACTCCTAGCCCTGGGCCACTCACCTTCACACTGTCGGGTGAGGACTGCCTGAATTTGTTCTGGTACAGCTTCAGGGTGTCAGCTGTGAGGATGTACGGGTGCTGGCTGCGCATGTTGCGAAACTTCTCGAACAGCTCTGGCTGGTACTCGGCAAAGTCAAAGGCCTCCACTGGCCCGGAGGGTGTGTTGGCCACCACCGCCACCCGCACAGTGGGCAGCTGGCTGCCGCTGCAGCTGATCCTTTGCATCTGGCTGATTCGATTTAAGATGGTGTCCACCTTGGACTCGAGTCCCTTCTGACTCACAAATACATTCTGATCTCGAGAGCCATCAAACCCCAGGATGACTTCCAGATTACAGGCTGGCAAGGAGAGACGAAGGTAGACAGCAAAATGAGATCTTCCACGTGGGAACTCAGAGAAGCAACTAGTTCTGACTCCCTCTCACTGTCAGGAAACAAAACTCTGGGCCATTTGAATATGTTTGCTCTTGGTGGAGGGGAGGGGTTAGCTATTTAGACACAATAATGTACATTTGGTATTTAAGTCTATCTCAAGTTGGTGTTTTAAAATGAAAGTACTGTAGAACACAAATGCCCCCAACCCAGGCAACTGATCCAATAAACATATAACTGCGAATGAGAGGCAGACCCATAACCCTAGCACCAGCCCACCCAGGAGTTTTATGAGTTCCAGGTCATGCTCCAAATCAGGCTGTGTCACACACAAAAAAATACATTTTTAAAGATAAGTGAGCCTAAACCATCTGGGGAATTAAATAGTGGGAGGAAAAGTGAAGCTGATAAGGCTTTGACGCTTATCCTGAGAGAACATTCTAGAACAGTGGGTAGGTGAGCACAGGGTCATAAATAAATGTCCAAAGCAACCATGAACCTGAGGAACCCACAGGACAGCACTAGGGACACTCAGTGTCAGCAGGAAGAGTGAAGTTGTGCACGTGACGATTACCTTTGGAAACATCCGTCACACCAGGGCAGAGGGTTTCGTGCATCGCGTCATGCAGAGTCTCCAGAACGGTCTCACTGAGTTCCGACAGCTCCTGTACGCTGCTCACGCGGAAGGCTGTGGCGCTGTTGGAGGCTATCCTCCCCACCTCCTCAGAGTCAATGTTTCTCACGCCCACGGTAAACACCTTGACACCTTTCTGGGTGAGGGCCAGGCTCACGTCCTGAGCATCCTCCACTGACTTCCCTCCTGTGATCACGAAGGCGATCTGTGGGACTCGCTCATTCAGGCGGCTGCCAGCGTCAGGCACGAAGTGGTTCAGCCGCAGGTGCTCCAGGCCCACCTTGGTGTTGGCATGCCTCCCTCCCTTGTAGATCACTTTGTTGATGGCTTCAATAATCTGCCTTTTGGTGGAATAGTCCCTCAGGAAGAATTCATCCGTGGGGTCTGAGTTGTACTGGACCAGCCCCACTCTGATGGAATCGCCGTCTTCATAGACGGTGTCCACAATTTCAGATACAAAACGGAGTACTTCCTGGAAACTGTCCCTCCTGAAATTGATGGACCCATCCAACAGGAACACGATGTCGGCCTTTTTCTTCTCTACAAGTGAGTACAAGGAAGATGAGGGGAGCTCGGGCCTCCAAACTCAGAATGTGAACACACACAATGCAAATCAAAATAACTAAGACTTCTACCACTTCATCAGTAAGGAGAGCTTGCACTCTGTTCTGTGCCCCTCTAGACCCATCCTCCAGCCAGTACACTAAAAACTGGAAGATAAATGGCAAGTCACCTAAATAAAAGGGAAAGGAGGCATAAGAACTCAGCAAACCAGACCCGATTATCTGACCACTTAGACTTATGCTTCCAGAAGTGCCAAAATGGGAGACTGGAGACAGTGTGAGGAACACAGGATGTGCCCACCCAGCTCAGAAGGAGACAGTTAAAAAATAAAGAGGGACCGCGGGTCCCTCAGGAAAACCGCCCCGCTTGAGTGCAGAGTGTCTGAAAGACCATCTCCCAGAAGAGGAGCGAGGCAAAGGGTCTGGAGGGGTTGGATTAGAGTCTCAGGGGTGAGGACTTAGACAAGGAGAGGATGCCGTAAGTAGGACAGTCATGGTGATCATATCGGCCCAAAGAAGGAAGTGTGCCTAGATCACAGTAGGTAACCCACCATGAGGGATGACCTGACTTCAAATCTGTGTGCAGTGGGCATTGGCTGACTCCAGCCAATGAATGTGATCCTCCAAGACAACTACATCAAGCCTTTCAGCAGCCCTGTGGTTAACTTCAGGAAAGATGGAGGACTGATGATCATATGTTTTGGGGGACATGTTTCCCTCTACAATTTCAAATGAACTATTTCCCCAATATTTAATTTCTAATATCTGTAGACACAACCCTGACAATATTATTGCAAAGAAAGCTAGTTATCATTTCATTTAAAACAGTTGACACCATATTCTGCAATCAAGCATCAAACAGTTCCTACCTGGTCTTGAGGGAGAAACTATGTCTACACCAGGAGGCTGAGGAGTAGCCCCAGATGGTCCAAATGAAAGCATGACCCTCTCTTCTACATTGGGCAGCTCTCTGAATTCTCGAACCGTGAAGACCAGTCTGGGGTCATTGATGATGGTTTGCAAGTCGACTCTATCGATGTTTCGGTCCCCTATCCCTATACTCGTGATCCCTGATGAGCTTATGATTTGGGCATGCCTAGCCACATCATCCTGGGACTTCCCACCCAGGAATAACACCAGGTGTTGAGGCACTCCATCTTCTATCCGGCTCCCAGCAGACTTCACAAAGAGGTTTCTTGCCACAAACTCCAGGGCTTTGCCAGTGTTCAGGGGAGACCCTCCTTTGAACCTCAGACGCCGTATGGCATCAAGCACAAGAGCCTGTGACCTGTGGGTCTTCAGGTAGAACTCAGGGAAGACATCATTGCTGAACTGCACGACCCCAATCCTCACTTTACTGGGGCCAATGTTGAGTCTTCGAACAATCCTGCTCACAAAGTCTCGGATATGAGCGATGCCATCAGGCTTGACGGCATCGGAGCTGTCAATCAGGAAGACAATGTCGGCAGCATCACTTTCAATCACTACAGACAGAAGAAAAAGTGGAGTTCAGTTCCTGTGTGTTCCCGCTCTGCCTTTCTCACTACCTCAGCTTCTGGAGCTTGTGTTTGTCACACTCAGGGTGACCCAACACTGAAGTTATAATCTAACACGAGTTGGGCTTTTGAGACTTAAGCCTTGAAAGTTGTGTTTTCCAGGGTAATGGTGCTTGCCAGCACGCCTGATGGTCTGAGTTCAAGACCCCACAGGAGAGCAACCACTCTCAAAACTTGTCCTCTGACCTACACACACACACACACACACACACACACACACACACACACACACACACACACACATCTAACAAAAAAAATGGCATTCTAAATGCAGGTAATAACTACTTCTTCAAATATTTTAAGTCATCCAAAACTTTCTCTAAGTCAACTTTATTTTGATTTTGGCCTTGTGGCTTGGGCTACTACTAATTTAAAACCTATGGGGATTGTTGAGAAACTAATCCCATGTTACCATAGCAACAGAATCATGAATCATGAGCAGGAACCACCAAAGACACTGTGACCACCGAGGCCCACATCTTTGTCATATGAAAGGATAGAGACACCTGAGGTCAACTGTTACCACTTGTCCACAGTGAACACCGCTAAGATGAGCCCCACGTGGCTCCTCAGCCTTTGCTGCTGCCCTGCCTCCATCCATGAGGGAAGGGTTCCCACAATGCAATGCTGCATGCCAAGAGTCATGTAAACTGTCCCCAGACATTGGCTTTCTTATACTCCTTGAATCTTGTTAAATTGCATTTTAATGAACCTAGAGCATTCAATTTTTTTTTCTTTTTACTATTATTTTCTCTTTTCTCCAGGATGTGGTTTTTAACTGGTGGAAAACTCTATACTGCAAAGTTTTACTTCATGCTGAGTTTTTTTTTTAATTGAATGAAATTACCTGAAGACTGTTGTGTTAGATTTATAAGAAACAGAAGTAATTTCCTGTCCAGGCTTGGGTCCAATGCCCATGTTAGCTCATGATGAATGTGCAAATATTCCAAAAAAGAGATAAATCCAAAATCTGAAGCAACTCTGGTCCCAAGCATTTTGAATTAAAGATATTTCAACTTGTATAAAATCAATCAAAATATCTTGGGAAAGATGAGCCACATTCTCCTGTTGGAATTCCAGATGTCTCTCAGATACCCTTTAACTAAACTAATAGGTTGCCTCTCTGGCCTGGTTTTCTTTGCCTCAATTCCAGGCTTTTCCAGTGCAATACTACAAAGTGAAATGTTGAGTTGATTATGAAGCGAGACCATTCACTGAGAAAGAGGAAAACTGGGGAACTGGCCTAGGTCACAGTCTTGGGGTCCCCTGCTGAGCACAACACCCCCCCCCGGGACCAAAGGTAAACAAAGAGGGGGAAGTAAGAAAAGGGGGTAAAGAGATATGTGGGTGCCTACAATATATACTAGTATGAAAATTTTATTTAAAAAAAAAAATCATGTTAGGAGAGCAGCCCTGCCTCCACGGGTCTTACCTGCAGGGGGATAGCGAGTACTGGTCAGGATCTGCTGGATCTGCTGGGAGGTCAGCGTGGTGATGGGAGTCAGCAGTTTCTGCTCCAGTCTGGGCAGCTCCCTGAAGGTGCTCACTGAGAACACGTACTCGGGGCTCAGGGAGATCTTCACCAGCTCCTCCTGGTTTGTGTGCCTGGCTATGGTGAGCGGGGCCACGCCAAACTGCTTAAGCTCCACTGCTGAGTCGTCTACCTCGTCATCGGACTTCGACGATGAAATGAGGACCAGGAACTGCGGGACCCCCTCTTCTATACGGCTCCCCAGCGGTCTCTGGAAGATGTTCTTGAGCACGTACTCCAGGGCATTGCCGATGTAGACCTGCCTCCCGCCCTTGGGCCTCAGCCGGCGCACAGCATTCTGCACTTCGTCCTTGCTGAAGTGAGCATTCAAAGGAAACTCCATCTTGGGGTCCTCACTGAACTGGATGACTGCTACCCGGGTGGTGTCAAAGCCTATGTCCAGGTACTCAACCAGCCTCTCAATCAGGGTGCGGATGTGCTGGAACTCCGGGCTGGCGTTTTGGGATCCATCGATGAGAAAGACCACGTCCTTCTTGCTGCTAGCACCTGTAAAGTAGACAGCATTATGGCCTTCAGCTTCAAGGATGTCAGACTTCAAGCATTCTTGAGCCATCTCCTAGTCTGCCATCAAATCTGTGCCCAGTGGGCAAGAGATCCTAGTACCAGGCACTACAGTAAGAAGACCAAAGAGCCAGTCCCGTGTGTGTTTTCACATCTAAATGTCAGATGAAAGAGAAACCAGCAAAAGACTTGGAAGGGTGAGCCCGAGGGAGGCAGAAACCAAAGAGCTGTACCTACACCAGGGGCATCAACGATGGCAAGAACTGCCCACAGGCCCCATACGAGGGTGCTGGGAGGCAGCCACTGGTTCTGCCAGGTGGGGGACTCAGAAGAGAGCGCACTCTGAGGAATGTGAGGTGAGGGTGAGCAATGGGTTGGTGTGGTTCTGAGAGGGCGGGAGAGGCCCTGCACAGTGCACATGTAAGTCTTCCAAAGGTGAAGGAGCTGCTGGAGGGCAGTGGGGCACTGAGAGAGCTGGCCTGGGCAACACACATCGACCATAAGAGGAATCATCCAGCACAATGGAGAACGCCGCAGGGATGATGGGGCAGGGTGAGTGAGATGTGAAGGGGTAAACTGAGCAGGGACAAAGAGAAGGGTAGAAGGCAGAGATGGGCCATCCCAGAAAAAAAAAAGATCACTCTGAAGTGTGAAGTGTGGAACCATCAGTGGGAGGGACCAAGCAGAGTTCCTGAACGTTCTCTTCAACTTACTTGCAGTTTCTCTAGGAAATGGGGCTCAAGGTCTGAAGCTGAGAGTGAGGCGTGGAGAGAGAGAAGTGGAGGACACAAGTTGGGAAGAAAGGGGGAGCATACAGAGTGGTCACTGATGTGTGGGGGAGTGAACGAAACAGGAGCCAAGCCCTGTGGAAGCGTAGGTTTAGTTTCCCAAGAGAGAGACTCTGCACACACACGCGCATGCGCACGCACACACACACACACACACACACACACACACACACACACACACACACACACACACACACACGCAGGCACACAAGCACCCTAGGGCCTCGAGGTACACCCTGACAGATACTCCTGTGCTGCAACAGAGTTTAGAAATGGCTGCATTCCCCTGCTATGAGAGAGAGAGAGAGAGAGAGAGAGAGAGAGAGAGAGAGATTCCTCAAATGTATATGAGTGTGAACATCTTCAAGCACTCCATGTAAGTGCACAGAGCACATGGCTCTCACCTGAACACCAAGGAAAAGCTGACCTTCAGGGCACACAGGAGGCAAATCCTGCCTCCAACTTTCTCTCACATGCCATTACCTCATCTTCCTTCCCTGATCCCTCGTTTCCCTCTCTCCACATCATGAAAACACAGGGCCACTTCTGCCCCTTTCTGCCCTGTGACCACCCTGCCTCAGTGCCCAGGAAGCACAGGCCCTGGGCTGACACGTGCTGAGGATGGGCGCCTCTTGGCCTCTTTCCTTCTTAGAGGCCACAGCTCAGACCTTGTTCAGGGTTATTGCGCACAGAACGGCATGGCCTCTCCACAGTTGGGACACCTCTCAATCCTAAGCAAATGTCACACACTGGTGCTGTAGATACAAACAGAGGGGAGACTCTACCCCTCTGGACAGAGCAGGGCATCTGTGGTCAGGCTCCTCCTGATGGCAGAAGACTACTGCTTCCAAAGGTGCCACTTAGGCTGGACACTCAGCAAGGGTCTCCCTCAGGCTCCTCTGTAAAGCCTGGATTTATGTCACGTGCATGCCCTCTTCGGTGCTTTAATTTGGCCACAAACAAGAATCTTAGATTCACTATTTGATATCTCAAAAAAAAAAAAAATAAGGCTCCTAGTTTTTCATACAGCTCTACACTCTATGTGGCAGGGGAAACAAGACTGAAAATGCTTTGCACACAGTCCAAGCAAGTAGCCAAGGTGATTATGGGGAAGAGAAACTTAAATAATCCCACCCCAACCCCTCACCTGCGCTTGGCAATGGCAAAATCACTGGTTTCAAATTGCTCAGCTCCTCACGGTTAAGCTGGATCACCCTCTCAGAGACGACCTGCTGGACCGTCCCAAGCTCCCGGAAACTGGGAATGGCCACAGCGAAGTCCGGGATGAAGGAGATGGTCTGCATCTCAGAGATGTCAGCATTCCCGATGCCGATGCCAATGGGCACAGCCCCGCCCTGCTTCAGGACCGCCGAGGGGCCTCTCACATCATCCCCTGACCGCTCAGCTGTGAGCACGATCAGGAGCTGGGGGACACCTTCTGCTATCCTGCTCCCTGTGGAACTGGTCAGGATATTCCTCAACACGAAGTCCAGTGCCGCCCCTGTGTTGGGGATTGGGCCACCCAGCAGTGTCAACCTGCGGACGGCATTGATGACACCCTGCTGGTCCATGTGGGAATTCAGGTAGAATTCAGGTCTGGTCCGATCGCTGTACTGCACCAGGGCTACACGCACCCGGTCAGGACCCACATCCAGGCTCTCCACTACTCTCTGCACAAACTCCTTTAGCAGGGGGAAGCCACTCCGGACACCCTCGGAGCCATCAATCAGAAACACCACATCCTTTTCACCTGAAATTGGAGAGAAACACCTGGTGACTCACACAGGACTGGACACAACAGCTATATATCACCGTGTTGAGGGCATAACAGCCCCCCAGGAAGGTCCAACCCCAAATCCTTCTGTCTGTGAAGAAGACGTTGCAGAGATGATTAAGTGACAAGTTAGAGATGAAGGGTGTTTATTCCCCCCAGCAGGCACAACATCATTACAGGAAGGGGGACGGGACTAGGGTGCACATCTGGAGGATGGAGAAGAGGCCATGAGCCAGATAATTTGAATGAATTCTGGACTCTGGAAAAGGGAAAGAAATGGGTCCTCTCCCAGGCCCTCCAGCTAGAAGGCAACCTGCCCTACCAACACCTCGGCTTTAGCTCAGGGAGGATGGATTCTGATGCCTGACCTAGAAAAATTGTCAGGAAGAAATTCCTTCTGCTGCAAGCCATGGTGTGCGTGGTAAAGCATTGGGGGAAGGAATTCCTTCTGCTGCAAGCCATGGTGTGCGTGGTAAAGCATTGGGGCAGTGGTGGAAGAGGAATGTGCCAGTAGAGAGGGCCCTTTGTTTGAACTTTCTTAAATGTGGACAGAATCGCAAGGCCAGGTGTGGTGACCTTTATGCCAGGACTCAAGAGACAGAGGCAGAAGGATCTCTGTGAATTTGAGGATAATCTGATCTGCATAGCAAGTTCCAGGCCAGCTAGGGTTATGTACCTAGGAACTGCTAACTTTGAAAGGTAAACTCAAGGAAATTGCTGGGAACATGCAGAGCCAGGCATTTTGCAGATCTTAAGACTTCAAAGGTTGAAGGCGCAAGAGAATCAGTGGAAGAAATGAATGTGACCTCTATGTTAGGGTCACAGATCACCCCAAACTAACCTTGAGAGACTCCCTTTATCAGAAAAGAGCCTCTAGAGACTCAGTTTTCAATCAAAAGGAATATATGATCAGTATGTGTATAGATGTGGTCGTAATATATATTTGTATTGTGTGTGTGTATGTGTGTGTATGTGTATTCATTCTATCAGCAGGGCAGGCTGCCTTCTAGCTGGAGGGCCTGGGAGATAACCCATTTCTCCCATGATATCATGGGAGAAATATATACATATATATGTATATATATTCTGTATATATTTTATCACGCAAGGAAGAGTGGTTAAATACCAACTTAAGGGAGTATAAATTCAGTCAGAAATTGAAATGCAACTTTCGTGATGGAATTGAATTTGTCTACCTTCTCTAATATCTTTAGTTTTTAATGAATGTAATTGAAGGACTTACATCAGTGATATTCACTTAAAGCATATCACTTGACGCTTGATGTCAAGATGAAGGCTATTTTAGCTACAGCACAGCCATGGTATATGGCTTTATTATCAGATAGGGATTTTTTTTTTTTTTTTGGTTTTTTTGAGACAGGGTTTCTCTGTGTAGCTTTGCGCCTTTTCCTGGATCTCGCTCTGTAGCCCAGGCTGGCCTCGAACTCACAAAGATCCACCTGCCTCTGCCTCCCGAGTGCTGGGATTAAAGGCGTGCGCCACCACCGCCCGGCCCAGATAGGGATTTTTTAAAGACAAAGTATTGTTATCTAAACCTCTTTAATGCATCTTATATGAAATAGTCTAGTGCCTTTAAAAGATATTCACTCATATCCTTCCAAGACACAAGTTAGAAAATGAAAGACAGAATATTCCTTTTGTTCCCCTGGAAACGGCCTGCAATTTCCATGTTCTCTGTATGCCCTGGTAGGGCTTCATCTGAGAACCTCTGCTAAAATTCTAAAGCTAGAGACGGGGCTGCAGGGGGAGCCCACATTGATGCGCCTTACCTGATACAGGCTCTACACTCTGTGCAGCTTTCAGAAGGCTCACAATCTGTGGCTGGAGGTCCCCAATCTTAGGAAGCGATTCTGCAGTCAGGATGAACGCAGGGGATGGCACAATCTGCTCCAGCTCATCCGGATTAGCGTTCTTGGCTTGAAAGATGAAAGGTATCACGCCTCTCTGCTTCAGAGAGCTTGCTGGTCCAGCCACAGCATCTGTCGACCTACCGGCAACCAGCAGTACCAGGAACTGCTGCACGTTATCCTCAATGCGGCTGCCAGCCGACCTCACAAAGATATCACTCTGTGCATAGTCCAGGGCGTAGCCCAGGTTGAGGGCTTTGCCCGTCTTAATCTTCATCCTTTTCACAAGATTCAGGATTTCAGCCTTACTCTGGTGCTCACTGAAGCGTGACTCCAGCCTGACGTCATCACTGAACTGAGCTATCGCTACTCGGGTCCCATCCGGCTTCACATCAAGTTCCTCAATGATCTTGTAGAGAAAGTCTCGGACAGCAGGGAACTGGCCCACGACATTGGCGGAGCCATCAAAGAGGAAAAGAATGTCCCGCTTGCCCTCTACAAGGAAAGCAGATGGACATAGTCAGCCAAGAGACCCTGACACCAGGTGGATCCTGCTGAGCATCACCACATGATGTGGGAGTTCACCAGATTCATCTGACATCACCATATCAGCTAGAGAGGAGAATGAAGACCCTGCCGTGGCCTCCGCTATTCCAGGGCAGCACAAATTTGCAAAGAAACAGCCCTGGGCTACAAGCCCACACCCCAGACATTCTTGACAAAGCAAGTTGCTGGAAAACCTGCCCGTCCTGTTCTCGCAGTTAGACCACTGAGAACAGCCCAGTGTTTTCATGTCGTTACAAATAAAACCACCCAAACTCTGTTTCTCTCTATACTTCTGCTGAAAACTGACCTCCATTTCCTATGACAGAGATTGGTTGCAGACTAGCTTCCCATGGACACCTGGGCTGACAGGGAGCTGTTCACACTCAATCGTGTTTTCAGTAACTTTAAGGTAAAGAGTTAATACCCAAAATACTGTCGATGATTTGGGGGCAGGGTTCAAATCTCTGCTAATATTTCCAATCTCCCCAAACGGAAACCACAGAAAACACGAGTGACAGCCAAAAAAGGGCAGTGCCACACCATGTAAAAATGTCATCTCAAACTGTTCTGAGAACTACTTCAGTGAGGCAGCCGTTGGTTCAGGCTTGCTACCCATCTGGGTGGAGGTGGAAAACTGGTGGGTCTTGTGTATCCATCTCTGAGGGTCCTAATGATCTGCCACAGTAAGAGTAACACGGACTCACTGTTGCATGAAGATGTACAGATAACTTTTGACACATGGCAGAGTCTGAATGTTGAATGCCACATAAGGGAAGGATTTGAATTTTAAAGGATGCCAAGGCATAATCATCTAATAGAGTCAATCAATCTCTCTCTTCCTCTCTCTGTGTCTCCTTCCTTTTTTTCCCCTCTTCCCTCCCTCCTCCTTTCTTTCCCTTTCCCACCTTTCTCATGGATTTTCACTCTAGAACAGTGGTTCTCAATCTGTGGGTCGTGACCCATGTGCTAGGTCACCTAAGTGCATATCAGATACTTACATTACGATTCACAACAGTAGCAAAATTACAGTTATGAAGTAGCAATGAAATAATTTTGTGGTTGGCGGGGTCACCACAACATGAGGACCTGCATTAAAGGGTCACGGCATTAAGAAAGTGGAGAACCACTGGTCTAGAATGTTCACCTTGTCCAGCTTCCAAACAAATCTGAGACCACATGAGCAGGGCATAGCTGAAGGTTCGACACTTGGAGTCTAAGTTTGTTAGAGCAGTGTCTTCAACCAGTCCAACCAAAATGAACCCACCATCCTTCCTCATGTCACAGGCTCTGGGCTTTCATTGGCCACTGCATCCAGGAAGCGGGGGAGGGGACACTGGAGGGAGATTTACCTGGCTGGGTTAGTGGAACTTCCTGTACACCTCCACTAACATATGTGGTTAGGGGCTGAATCAGCTGTTGAGGCAAAGCCGGCAGCGAGCTGAAATCATCCATGAGATACACCAGGCTTGGATTAAAAGCAATGTGTTCTAGCTCGGCCTTATCGGCCCGGCTGGCCCCCACACAGAAGGTCAGCACGCCCTCGCGCACCAGGGCATTGGCAGCTTGCAAATAGGCATCCTCAGAAGGCCCCGCCATGAGCAGGAGCAGCAACTGAGGCACACGTTCCCGGGTCCTGCTGCCGCCTGCCTCCGTGAAGTGATTGGCATGGACATAGCTCAAGGCAGAGCCTGTGTTCAGGCCCGTGCCCCCCTTGAGCTGCAAGCGCCTCAGGTGAGCAAGCATCTCTGACTTGGTCTGGTAAGTGTCTAGAGAGAACTCCGTGACTGGGGTGTCGCTAAATTGCACTAAGCCAACACGGATATTGTCACTTCCAACATCGAGGCTGTTAACTAGGTTGGTTACAAAGTCACGCACATAAGGAAAATTGGTTTTTCCAACGTTGTCGGATCCATCCAAAAGGAAGATGATATCCCGTTTGTTTACGTGAACTGCGGTGAAGCACAGAGAACACGGTGAGACAGACACACCCCTGAGAGGGCTTCCCATGTGTGCCCGCAAGAGCACACATGGCACACTCAGAACACAGAGGAAGTCAGCGTGGCAGAGCATGCCATCTGGTAAAATATGGCAAGCATGTCATCTGGTAAAATATGGCAAGTGGCTGCATATTTTCCTCCTGTGGTGGCTGGAGCTTGTGAGGCACACCGATAGCCAAGTGTCCAAAACCAAGATTGCTCACAGACAGACAAAGCACTGGGGTTAGAATGTGTACAACCAACAAAATCACCAGGTTCCTGAAACAGCATGCCCTCCCTGGAACTGAATTCCACAAGGGGGCCTCGTCTCCAGACCCCTAGTCACAGGATGGTCGCCCATGCTGGATGAGCCCTCTGGGACTCACCTGACTGCACAAAGGGGGCTCTTTCCACCCAAAGCTCAAGGAACCTCAGCCCACACGGCCCTAGGAACACACCTTCCGTAAGACTACCTGCCAATCAAAGTATGTGGTCCTCTGACGGGGAGTCCTCATCCCCCTGCCTCTCTCTACTATTCTGCTGTCTTATTAAGGGTCATTTCAGTACTGGCCAGTAGGGCAGATCCTCCAAGGATGTGGCAGGATCCTAGGTGTGATAGTTATAACAATGTCCACTTAGCAGACTCTAAACATTGCCTAGGAGGCAAACTTCTGCGCATGTCTGTAAGGGAGTTTTTTCTAGGGTCGTTGAGGTGGGATGATGTACTCATTTTGTGGGTCCTGGGCAGAGTCCATAGGAGAAAGTTCAGCTGAGCAGCAGGATCCATTTCTCTGTGCTTCTTGATTATGAAGCTTCTGCTGCCATGTCCCCCTCCCCATAGAGGGCGGCACCCTTAAACTGTGAGCCACAATTAACCCTTCCTCCAATGCCTTGCTTTGGTCATGTACCTTGTCACAGATACCAGGGAAGTCAGGTGACAGTAAAATGCAAAGACATTATATCCTGTGTTAGGCCGAAATTAGTTGCATGAAGAAAAGTTTATCTGTGGGCTCAAATCTGGGGATTCAACCAAGGCTCAAAAGTATTTGAAAAAAAATAAAAGTACAGAATACAATTCTGCCACTTGACAGCACTTCTGATTGGCTATAATGCTAGCAATCAGATTTGTTACTATGTATATAGGAGGGTTACGCGAATTATACTTGAGCATTTCGCTATCTAAGCCAAGGGACTTGAGCATCTATGGATTTCTGCATCCGTGGGTAGAGGGAATTGACCATCCCCTGTTTATACTGAAGGACACATTTAGAACTTACTACTTAATTCAGACTAACTGGATCCTCTGTTCATTCATCAAATTTAACTCTGGCTATAAAAGAGTGGATTCAGGAGAGAGAGAGAGAGAGAGAGAGAGAGAGAGAGAGAGAGAGAGAGAGAGAGAGAGAGAGAGAGTTTGAGAACTCTGAAGACCAGACGGTCTGAGGAGCAAGCAGGCACCCATGCAGTAGGTTCATGCACTGTGTAATCGTCCTTCAGTGTGAGGTCTGTGAGGAGGGCAAGCCGGATTCCAGGATATTCATCTTCTCTTCATTACGGATGGAGGTTTGTGTTTGCCCAGTTCACAGGCTGAGAGCGTTATAGTGTGTTTAGGAATAGCTCTGCACTGTCAATCATATCAAATGAAGGAGCAGAAGGACCATGTGTTTGGTCTTTACACCCATCTGTCAGTATGCTTTCCTATTGAAGGGAATCCCTTATAAAGAAAGAAAAGAGGGTTTAAAAGCCGAGGGTGCTACATCTTCTGTGAGTAGAGATACTGTCGGCTCAGAAAAGGAAGGTCCTTGACTCAGGGGAGGTTTCTAGAAAGGGTCACTAATAAAAACAGAAGGGATGCCAGTCATAGAGCTTAGAGTGACTTCTGTGGCCAGAAGCACAGGCAGGTGGCCTTGTGATGCTACAGTTTAAATTACGTGCATTTACAGAGTGACATTTTCAACTCCACAGTTTCAACCCTGCAGAAAAAATAAACCTTAAATAAACAGTTTGCTGTGGCTGTTGTCGCCACGAAACAGTGGCCTGTCAATTAAACATCAGTATGTCGCTGGACATTTCTCAAAGGTTCTGCCTGCCAGCCCCCTCCTGCATGTATAGACCACAGCTGCCATACCTTCTGTGGTTCCAGTGAGGGTCCTGAGGGGCGCCAGCAGATTGGGTAGCATGCTTAGCAAAGGAGCAGGGCGGAACTCAGCGGGAGCGAAGACCAGGGAGGGGTCGAAAGCGATCTCTTTCAGCTCGTCCTCATCAGCAGCCCTGCTGCCGATGGCAAAGGCCATGATGCTGCCCCGCTTCAGCTCCTGGGCTGGCTGGCTGACCTCGTCGAGGGACTTACCACCCGTGATCAGCACCAGGAGCTTAGGAACCCCCTCAGCTGCCCTATGGCCGGCTGAGCTAGTGAATAGGTTGTTTCGAACAAAGTCCAGAGCTGAGCCCGTGTACAGGACTGAGCCTTCCAGGGGCTTCATCTTCCGTACAGCAGTTATGGCATCCCTTCTGGTGGAGTAGGAATTTAAATAGAACTCGGGCTTGACAGTATCTGCATACTGAGCCACTGACACCTGAACCAGGTCTTGTCCGATTTCCAGCCTCTGGATGACTTTGGTAATGAAGTCTCGGATGGCATTGAAGTTGGACTGCCCCAGGCTGGAGGAACCATCCACCAGGAAGACTATGTCCCTCTTGTTGACTTCCATGACTGTAGATAGCAACAACAAAGGGTGAATAGAATGGCCTCAGTGATCAGGTTCCACAGCGACACTCTGAAGCCCCCTGAGCACAGACAGCTCTCGCTCTGACCAGTGTCGCAGGGGGAACTGTCCCATACAGTGACGGGCTCCCTTCCAACCCCGCCTACTTGCAATGTGTTTGAGAAACAGCGTCAGAAAAAGAGAGTTGCTTTTAGCTTCACACACCACCACTAAAGCGGTAGTTGGCTCTTCACCGCTACAAGCATAGTTTGAAAGTTTGGATGAGTAAAGCCCGGGTCTGCTCAGAAAGCTCTTTGTATCCCTAGCCTGATTTCAAATCCACATACTGACAAATGCAAAATCTGGAAAAGAATGGGCACCCCCTCCCACTTTTTCTTTGGTTATATCTTATGTGGCTTCCTTCGGCAGGCAAAAACAAATGTTTACCTTTTCATAAATCTTGAGAGAAGAAACCAGTGTCGTCCCCCCCCCCCACCAAGGGCAGCCACAGGTTTTCACTTCACAGCCCAGGGTGGGAGTGGTGGTCAGTGACATGCCATGACCTGAATGACTTAGATAAACCACAAAAACGGGCGCCTTGGCCAGAACTCCGCTGGCAGTGACTTCACTCAGCGCTGTCTCAGAATGTGTCCAACCTACCCGAGGGATGGGGACGAGGTCTCTGCCAGACTCAATGCCCATTCCTGATGTCTCAGGCTGCTCCTAGACTGTAAAGATACTAGCTGAGCTGAGCTGGGCTAGGCATGTTTACAAAAAGGCCCCGGGTATCCCTTGTACCAGACATCAGGTATGACAAGCCACTTTTTTAATACCCAGCAGAAGAAGGAAAGTTGGAAATAAAGGCAAGAAAGAGCTTCCTAAGGACTGAGACACCTCTCATGATGTATTCTAAAACACAGCTCATTCCTAGTCCCAGGGAGCAGAGGCTGGGAATATGGTGTCAGGGTCACCAGCGCTGCCATAAGGCATGGCTTTAGTATGACTGCACCTTCTCTAGCACTCTTTGCACCAAAAGGAGACAAATCTGAGTTCTGCCAGGAGGGAGGTGTTCATGCATGAGCACTTTTTAGTACATGTGTCCAGTTACCTGCTGGTGCGACTGTGTATGGATCACCTACCCTGCCACCCTAGGCCACAAACAGGATTATGACCATCCATTCAGGGATCTCTTTCCTCCTTCAGTTTAGAACATGCAGTCTCTTGGGGTTGCAACTCTGATTGCAATGTAAAAATGTCTTTGCAGATAAACTTGGTGCATATGTGTGTAGTGGACTTCCCATACCTTTATGTCATTGGGAACAATGTGCACACCAGTGTACTTTGCAGATAAACTTAGTGCATATGTGTGTAGTGGACTTCCCATACCTTTACATCACTGGGAACAATGTGCACACACGTGTATATATACATACATTCCACATATAATGCTCCGCATCTGTATCACACATATTTATCATGCATCTCTCATGCAGCAGACTGATAGACAAATGCCCATGAAATGGGCACCTGAGATGTGTCATGCCCCTTCCCAAGCGCAGGTTGTGACCTGATAATAGTCACACTTGTCACCTCCCAAGTTCTAGCATCTCACCATACATTTTACCAGTGGTCCATGGGAAGGACAGATGTCCACACATGGGGGACACGGAAACTGCAGAGCATGGACTTAGCTTTGTGGATTCTACAGTGTCCCTCGGGGCTCCCAGTTTCTACGACACAAGTCCTCTTTGATTATGGACAAGGTCACTTGGTTTGTGTTTGAAGTTCTGGAAGTTGCTAACAGGGAGACCCCTGGAATCGTGCTTAGGCAAATCTAATAAGCACCGAAAAAAAGTCCTAAGCCACTCAAAGAAGGATCAGGTTCCTATGTTTGCCACATGCTTTTGTCGCCAGCTGATTAACCTTTGCAGGCTAGTGTCCTCTTCTGGACTCCTGCTTCTGTGAGATGGAGGAGGGGTTGCATTATGGGCCATCTCACACCCAGTTCTTAAACTGCATGATTCTCAGGCTTTCTGTTAGGGATCCATCTCGAGGATGCACCAAGGCTTCCTGACAGGGCCAGGCTTTCTCTCCCCCAGAGCTCTGATGAGTCATAGTCTCTTAGGGAGTGACCTTGAAGGTCCTGCTAATCTCAGCCAGGAATGATCCTCTTCAGCACTCACTCCTGTGACTCACAACAGGACAATCCAGGATCCCTTCTCTCCAACCAAAAGCTTGGGAGTTGGGAAAGGACCTCCTCAGTCTCCCCATTAATATCTCCAAACGAATCCTCTCAAGACCCACTCCTCCCATCCATTTACTCCTGTCCCTGGTCCTTAGAGCGTCAGTCTATCCTCTCGTCTCTCTTCCCAGTCTTCTGAAGAACTTGGGAACCCAGTCATCTGAAGCCGCCAGTGCTCACAACAACTGGGTCCTCCCATCCACGCCACCCCTGCTTCTAGGGTCACCTATGACCTTCTATAGACACTACAGAGCATGCACACCCCTGAGATCTCCCATGATCTGCCACCTGCCTCTTCTCTTTCAGACAAATGACACCCCCACTTCTTCATCCACCAAGTTCAGTCTGACCTGCAACCCTTTCCCTCCCCCGGTCAACCCCTCTCAGCCTCACAATTCCCACCCTGTGCTACCCTCATGGGCTCTCTGATTCACTAGCCCTCACTCCCCCCCCCCCCCACCCACGGTAAAGACTCCATGGTCCTCTTCCCTTCTCCCCTTGTGGCACCCAAGCAAACAGGTGTTCCTGGCAAAATAGCACAATCAGGAAGTCTGTGTTCTACAGTGGGGACCTCACAGCACACATGGGTGACAGCACCAGCATGCCACAACGGAATGCTACCAGGAAACTGGTCTCCCCGTTCTGCAAAAGGACCACCTCGTGATCTGCTCTCTGCTCGGTTTCCCTCCACTGGCGTAGGAGGGTCTGATCTCCACTGACATCTGTGATAACTGCTGACTCTCCGTCCCCCAAGCCAGCTGCTGCTCCAGCCTGTCATGTGGACTCTGGGCTCCTCATCCCTAGCACTCCAGCCAGGCTGTCATCCGTCCGTCTGTCTGTTCAGGGAGGCCACGCTTCTTGCTGCAAGGACAGCCTGCCTGCTGCTCCCTTTGCCTAGAGCACTTTTCTCTCTGCTCTTCCTGTGCTCTGCCCATTTCTGTCTACAGCTTTGCAGATGGGTCCACTACGTTCCCTGACCCCATCCTCTCTAACACAGCCTCATTTGGTGGCCTTGTAGCTTGTCACACTCGAGAAGTGTAATGCTGTGTGGTCACCAGTTCACATGTTATAGACCCAAAGACTATCTCTCTCTCTTTCTCCACCCTGTATCCCCAGTGCTTGGCATAATTACTGTCACATATCAAATAGTCAAGAGTATCTACTGAATACTTATGAGTTCATCACTGAGACTCATGGTGACGTCTCTGAGGAAGGAGCTAAAATGCCAGTTAACTACAGAAAATCCAATGTAAGGGCAGCACACCACCCATTTTAATACAGAAGTCAAAGAAAGCCTCTCTTGAAGCAAGAATATCTTCACCTGGTACAACTTCTTTGGTGAGAATTTAAGGAATCAGAGCCCAGAGACATTGTGAGATTGGGCCAGGATCAAAAAAGACCTGAGACCAGAGCCAGATCTCCCCGAGGCAGTCATGGTACTTACTCTGTTTCTAAAACAGAGCAATGGTTTGCTTCCCATGTATGCAGACTCGGAGAAGCTCAGTGGACTGGAAATCTCCCCTTCGTTGTTTCCTTGATCACTAGAGCCACAGCAAGGCAGTCTGATGCGCAGCTGCAGCTCAGACCACAGCAGAGCAGGTCCCAGACCTGGAGTGCCCTTTCTTCAGTGTTTCCTCTCAGAGCATCCAGCTCAGGCTCCTGACCGCCCCCCTCACCGCCCTGCACCCTGTCCCCATCGAAACAGAAGGAGCAGGAAAGCGAAAGGGGGCACAACAAGCTGCAGTCTGATTGGCCTCTGATCCCAGGGATACTAAGAGCCTTCCCAGGAAAGGGTTCCTTGCATATGGCTAGTTCTGGTGCCAAAGTCAGGTGACAATGTCATGGCCCTGAGCTTCCTGTCACAATTGCATTATCATCAGAGCTCCATCTGAGGAAGTATGATCAGTTTAGTTTTCTTCCACTTTTACTCTGGTTCGAATGGCCAATTAGCAAAGTCTAGGGAAGCAGAGGTCAACTCCACATATGAGCCAATAAGGAAGATTTTCATTGAGACTTTAAAGGGTCCTGCTGTTAATTTCATGTAATGGCATGTTCACCAAGACATTTAATTTTTAAAACACTGTTATCCCTGTTGCTAAGGAAAACCAGTCAAGAATCCCAGGGATACATTGGGGAAATATGACAACAGTCATTTCACAGGTCCATCCAGGCTCTTTCTTGCAAACATAGCTAGACAGACAAGTGTTTGCACACAGAAAAATTGGGATCACAGACTGTAGATGCTAGCCAGAGTCTCCCATGAGCCTTGCTCACGTGCTCATTTTCACTGAGCCCGCACTCTGTTGAAGAACAATGAGAAACAGGGTCTTGTGTTCCAGGACTGACCTGAGAGCATCCCTATGAGAAGGTAACACCAGGAAGTGGCCCGAGTGCTTGTGGATCGTGAAGCCTTTGGGAGTGTGTCACCACTTCCTGGATGGTTTCCGGCTGGCCTGTCTGGGGTCATGAAACCAACACCATCTGAAAGCGACGGACTCTCAGACCACCAGCCTTTCTGGTGTCCCCACATGTCCTGTGTTTAAGTGTCTATCTCTCCTATGACGCTGATTGGCTTGTATTCTTTAAATGACTCCAGTTGGCTGTGCTGCTGAAGGCCTTCCATTTGAGCATAGATGATAAACCTGCCACTCAAGACAGTTCCTCCCAAACTTGGAAGCACAGGTCCAGAATGATCTATGAATACTTCATGCAGTAGGTGCTCAGCTGAGCCTTACCTTCAGAAATGTCCCTCCTGTGTCCACCACACTGAGACAGGAGCAGACACCACCCCCCTTTGCTGCTTTTGGGAAGACACTGTTTATGAGTGTACTTCTAAAACATGGACAATACCTTTACCCTGGAGTAGCTTTCTCAGAACTGTGGTGAATCCCTCAAGCCCTTGTCAAAATGACTGGATAATAGATGTCTATAGATGTCTAATGATGTCTAACAGCTCAAAGCAGCAGGCTTGTCACATTAGCCTAGAGAGCACATTTTTCTTCCAACCCACATTCTAAGAAAGTGTTCCATTCATTCATCCATCTTTTGATTTATCTGAACAATGCAATGACCGCACACAGCCCACACAGAATTCAGCACATCCCAGGATGACTGACTGGCTGTGAGTACTTACGGGTTCTCCCAAGGTGAATCACTCCAGTGCCCACCTTCCTTTTAAGACAATCATCACCCAACACACCCCCATTCCTGTAAAGATGGCAAAAAAAGGCATACATACCTTGTGTGACAATAGTTGGCGGTTGCAAGACAATGTGCCTTTCGGCCACACCAACAAGGTACGGCAGTAATTGCTCCTGGAGGTCCCCAAAGCTACGGAATTCCGGGACAGTAAACACCAAGCTGTCATCGGTAGCTATGTGCTGAAGCTCTGCCCTGGAGGCGGCCTGGGCTCCAAGGCCAAATGAGAACACACTAGCCTGCTTCAGAGCTACCACCCCATCCCGAATCTCATCACTAGAAGGCCCGGCACTTATGAGGACCAGCACCTGGGGGACCCCTTCCTCCACACGGCTGCCACCTGTCCGGGTGAAGTGATTCTCTACCACAAAGTCAAGAGCCAGGCCTATATTGGCCAACTCCCCCCCAGCAAAGCTGAGCCTTTTCACAGCTTCCAGAACCATAGCCTTGGAGGGGTAAGCATCCAAGGAGAACATGGTTCTGGGCTCATCGCTATACTGGACCACCCCCACTCGGATCTGCTGATTTCCAACCGAGAGTCTCTCAAGGACATTTACAAGGAAGTCTCGAATGACAGCGAAATGGGCACTTCCGGTGTTGTCTGAGCCGTCAATAAGGAAAACAATGTCGGCTGAGTCTTGTGCTTTAAAAGAAAGAAATGCAAAAAAAAAAAAGAAAAAGTGAAAGCATTAGAACAAGTGACCACATGCATCATCTCGGCTTTCTGACGTGTTTCCTTGGAGACCATTAAGAAACACGAAACACAGACAAACAAAACGCAATGTCGGTGAAGGAGTGTGGAGTCTCTTTTAGTTCTGCATTCTGAGTGGATAAGAGGCAACTATTTACAACCGTGGTTGAAAGAGGGGCATTCATAACAGATTTTCATCCGTTAAACTTCATACTCCAAGGGAGAAATCAATGTTCTGGCTTTTTTCTTCTAAATTTGGAGGGAAATATAATTGCATCTGATTAAAGATACCATACTGCAGGAGAGATGATCAGGTTGTCACAAATCCAAAGGTTATTTCGAATTTATGCTCATTTCTCATCAAAATAAATTTCAATGCAAATGCACAGCTTAGGAAACAAGAGCCCAGGTTTGTGGTCCAGTGACCGATAGTTCCAGAAAGCTTATTTAATTCCTTGAATAACTATCGTTCATTTGTTTCTTGAAAATCAAAATGGATGACTCTACACACGTCTGGGACCCAAAACTCAGACACAGTTTTAAAAAAGATCCCTTGGCGTGCGATAGATCCTATGTTCATCTCTCAAGAGCATGGTTGTGTGGAATCCGAACATGGGGCTGGGGTCGGAATGTTGGTTGTGCATTGCCTCTATATTCAGTCAAATAATGAAGAACAATGTTAAGCAGAGTGACACGAAACCAGTCATGACGTAATTATCCAACCTCATTTTATGACATCCTAGCAGATTACCTTGCAGGACCCAGGTTGGCTAAGCCAAAATCAGTGCTGCCATCACTGAAGGACATAAAAATGGCTGCCAAAGACCTCTCTTTCCGAGTGACGGGAACTTGAGCCTTCTGGTCTGTTACTGAAAATGGGGATTGCACAGAGACTCAGGTAAAGGGGAGCAATGAGTGTGTCTACAATCCAGGGCAGGGAAGTCCAAAGATTTAACTCAAGCACCTAAATCAAACTGTTCCCCAGAAAATTCTTTAATGCTTAAGGGTGTCCTGGGGCCAAGAAGGGCCTCTGCACAAGTATGAATATTTATACTCTGGGGCTCTGGAGCATAATTATTATACCGTAATATAAGAAAAGGCCATCCATTTGGATTTTTGAGTGCCAGTGGGTGTTTTATATTTAAATTTAGTTTTTCTTGTGCCAGAAAATCTGTTTATGTTCTCACTGGGGAAAGGCCCTCAAAGCTCATTTCACAAAACCAGTGAGTTTTTCTCTCAGGCAGTGTTCTCATGAGAGCTGAAGCAGGGGGATGCCAGGCTTCAGTGCGCTCTCCCTTCCCCACGTACTTAACAGTCCTTCACTACACATTCAGGGTTTAATCCTGAGAGAGGTTTATTCCAGGGAGACGTAGAATTTGGAAGGTTGCTACCACTGCCATCCCCACAAGGTACAAGAGGACAGTTGCTTTGCTTCAGTGACCGAGATCTTCGGTGTTATTAACTGTCATACAAAAACAGCAGCAGATGGGACTCTTGGTTTGAACTCCAATTAGTCCACCAGTCTTCAGCCCCAGCACAAGATTCCTGAGGGATATCGGGAGGATGCAGAGCCAGAGAATGTGGGTTGCACAGACCATAAAAATGACTCTCACCATTTCGTGGAGGACATCATAAAACGCCTCCACGTTTCCCAGTCTAAGCCAGTGACCTCAAGAGACACAGAAGGACCTGGCTCTTAGTCATCCTATCTAGATATTTTAAAAGAGAGTTAATTATGATCAAGATGGACACTAAAAAGCCCTTCAGTCACCACAGGGCATGATTCTGTCTTCCTTACCTCCACTATCCCATACTCTTTGGTAGCAAGCAATTCCTAGTGGTGTAAATACCACAAAAGAGCTCTCTGGGTAGGAAAGCAAGCTAAACGCCATCGGCGGTAGGTCATAAAATGGTGGATAATTTGTCATCACTGAGTAAAAATCCATGATCATCTTACACACACAATAATGGAACACACAGAGCATGCTTTGTTAGCCGCAAGAGCCGAAGCCTCACAGAGACCCAGGAGCCTCGGGGTCTTGTGTGCAGCAAGGCGCATCAACGGCCAACACCAAGTCCAAGAGACATCAGACTGGAAGCTGCCTGGCTTTCTGCTTCGCGTCTCATGTGTCACACTCTCTGTGGCACCTTCTGTGGAAAGTGTTTGAGATGCCCAAGGAAGAACCCTAAGCCCTACTTGCCTGAGCGCCCAGGAAATATCACGCTCCTATTTTCTGTACAAAACACAAACTTTGAAGAAAATGTATGCTGAACTCCTCAGAATCACCTTCAGCTTGGGTTTTAGAACAAAGGTCTCATATCTCAGTTGTGTCCATTTTCAAAGGGTGACGTGGGGACTTCTTAAACCACAACTGGGACTAGCAAGAAGAGCAGGGTCCATTCAGAATGGCGAGCCTTAACGCTTCCCGTGGGTAGGCTCTTGCTTTAGAATTAAGAATGGTCTACAGGGAAACAGTCCCTGCAGCAACCTTAGTCAGACCACTGATGTGCCTTTTTCTAAACTTTATTCAGGGCTCACGATTGGGATTCGGGTACTTGTTTTGTCTTATTTCAGTCTTGCTATGGAACACGCAGTGAGACATGGTATGAAGGAATTGCCGAGTGCAGTTAATCAGAAAAGGTGACAGACCCACACTCCACCCTGGTGCTGCCAGTGGCTGAGACATAGAAGACAGAGATGTTCTCTTGGCATAAAAACAAAGGTTTTAGCTGAGCAGAAATAGGCAGTTGGTAGACTCTCTGCTCTAGCAGTGGTCGTTTCGGGTTTTATCCATACGTAATGGCTGCATCACCTATTCCTGCTTATTAGTTTGCCAAGTTAACTTTGGAAACATGCCATTCTCTACTAATCACATTTTTAAATGAGTGTATTACTACACCTATATTCCAAAAGGGGTGAGTCAGAGAATCTCAGTGGACACAGACAGCTACCCTGGGTTCCCCCTCATCCTTCCCTCTGAAACAGAAATGTGACCCAGGGTGATCTCTAGAACCCACCTTCATGTCCTATAACCTGGCAGGATGGCACACTGCCAGAGGAGAGGCCCCCTCACTGGAAGCAGGGGACCCCACTAGTATGAATAAATGGGCCAAGCTGTCTCCTCCCTGTCATTTGGTAGACCTTGGTGACCCCAACCCTACCAAGGCTGAGATCATGGAGGACCATGGGGATGAACAGCCTTCTGAAACTCCTTAGGATATATCAGCCCTGATATGTACCCAAGCCTCGCCTGTCCCCAGCAACACGTTTCTTTCTGGTGATACCTACCACCTTCCTCTTTGTCTGCCGCTTTCTAAATCCCTGTGATGAAACCCTGCCTGGTATTATTTTCGTATAGCGGCTTATTGTTCTGATTACAATACCGAAGGGTCTGCCTTCTGTTCTGTCTGGTTCCTCACCCGCCTCTTAGAGTGCTTGATTCACACCTCAAATTCACTACTGCCTCTTCATCCCATTCCTTAGCATCTTCATCAGTAGGAGACTGACTTCTCCAGCTGCCTTACCTCCAGCCTCCGCCTCGGCCATCCTCTTGGTGGAGGAGAAAAGCTACCCACAAGCCTTGTTTCCTCTCCCACTTCCTCTGGGCTCTACATATCGCCTGAGTCCTGGCTGCATGATCACTCCTTCCCTAGTCAGGAACCAGGCACCATCCGTGGGCTTAGCCCCTCTCTGTGGCTTCAGGCATGTGGTGATCGACCTGCATCCACACTGCGTACTCAGAGCTGTCTAAGGAGACCTTTACGTCTGTGTGGATGACCCTGGTGAGCATCAACCTCTCAGTTCTTCAACCTCCTCATGCCCAGAGGTCCTTTCTTTAGTGATCATATGAATGCATAGGCCACCCTTCCAGCCTCATTGGCAATCCCTCCAGTCCTCCAATCCCAAAAGCTCTCTGGCTACACACTGTGCTGTCTCCCTGATACGTACACACTCAAGTCCTGGCCCCCATCCTGCCCCTCAGGCTTTCATTCTCAGAATCCTCCCCATTCATTCTAGCTTTTCCTTGGCTTCCCCACCTTGCCGAGACTCCATGGGAGGGTGTTGCAGGTGGCAGGGCCCTGGTAGCTTCTACTCGGCATTTCCTCTCCTTATGACTCACTCCCTCTTTCAAAACTCCCAATCCGGGAGTTCCTTTGATTCTGAAAGTACCTGAGGAGTCTGAAGAAAGCTGGAGGGCTACCCTGGTAGAGCTGTCCCTTGGCGGGCAAGGTCTGATTTTCAGTGAGCACTGCTCTAAGTCAGCAGTCATTTCCTGAGCACTGTGGGAACCCTCATCACACCTCTGCACCCATTGTTCCCAACAGCTCCAAGCCCCGGCTCCCGTACCTGGTGCTGCCCTCCTCCGCCATCAGCATTCTAGAAATGACTCGTGCCCACCCCACCTGAACTGCTCAGCTTCTCTCCTACCCACCCCAGACTCCTAGGGATGCAGACCTTTTCTCTGAAGGAGGAGACATGTGTCTCTCGCAGCATGCCTCCCTACTCCCCACCCGGCCTCCTTTCCTTTCCACTTGCTGCGTGGGCTTGTGTTCTAGCACAGGGTGCCCTGCCCCCGTCCGTGTCTGAAGAAGCTAATCGTGGCCACTAGGCAAGATTGCTGCCGAGCAGGACAACTTCTGCTCTTGTCACGTCCCCTCCCTCTCAGCCTTTTGGGCACTTATCAATGGAGAGAGAACCAATGGGCTTGATTGGTTTAAGGACTCTCCAGTCACTGAGTCTGCCCATCTGTATAATGTTAACATATAGCGTGACAATGACCTGCTGTCACATACTCCTATGGTGACCATGAGTAGGGCATTACAATCTGAAGAGTCTCCTGGTTACAGTCACAGGGCGCCAAAGACACAACCGTGCAGACCCTGGGTGGGGATGTCACAGCTCTGCGCTGGCCCCTTCCCTAGCTTGTCACCCACCCTCTAGGACTCAGTTTCTTCCAAACAACCTTGGACCACATCACAGCTAAGACTCCCTGCCCTCTGATTGTGTCATGCCTTAGTATCACTGATTGTGTCATGCCTTAGTATCACTGAACAGGAGAGAAGAGCGGTCCACTGTTTGCCAGACACCAACACTGACCCCTCTCTCCTCCCTCAGACCAGTGCATCCTGGTGCTCTCTGCTCCTAGGTGCATGCCTGCTCATCCGAGGGAAGCTTTCTACTTAAGGAAGGTAAAGTAACTCTGGGGTCCTGTCAGAATGTGGGTTTTAAATGTCGGCTGTCTCAGAAACCTCTTGGTACAGGCGGAGGCTGGGTCTGAAGGAGACTGAAGAACACAGTCACGCCTTTGCTTTTAAGCTTGAGAACATCTCTTCCCTAAGCCCCCAGCGTCTCTTCGGCACTATATTGCTTTCAGCCAGTATTTGCTAAGCTCATAGGCACAGAGCAGCAGGGCAGGGAGCAGCAGCCTGGCCGTGAAGACATTACCTGTGATGTCTTTAAGGCTTCCCGCGTCCCCAGCCCTTTCTGAATTCACGGAGGAGTGTATACAGGACACTAAGTTCCCTACTATCCCGTGAAGTGAGGTAACGTTCTCTAGGTTGAAGACATGCATACTGAGCGGTTCGCTTGCTATTTCTCTCAAGGCTCTCTCCTCTGCATCCTCAACTCCAACTGCAAACACGCTAACGTCCGCAGACTTAAGCTCCGCCGAGGGCAGAGCAAAGCCATCCTCTGAGTGCCCGTCAGTCAACACTATGATAACCTGAGGGACTCCGTCAGCGGCCCGGCTTCCAGAGGCCTCGGTAAGGTGGCTGTGAATTATGTATTCTAATCCGTTTCCAGTTTGATTGTTTCCCTCAACGTAAGACATGTTCAAAATATGAGAAAGGACTTCTTGCTTAGTGTGGTACGTATTTAACAGGAACTCGGTATGTGGGTTTCCGTTGAGCCGGACCAGAGCAAACTGGAAATCAGTGTCTCCCACCGCTAAAGACTCTACAACATCAGACAGAAACTCTTGAACGAGCAGGAAACGGTCCTTCCCAGCACTCCAAGAGGAATCCACTAGAAACACTATGTCAGCAGCTGCACCATTTTTGTCATCTTTAAAAAAAGACAGTGGTTCAGGTTTTTCTACCGATACAATGACCTCCCATCAATGCACCTCTTCCTAAATAAGTTATGCAGATCCTCTGCTACTACCAAGTAGGTCACACCTGGCCTGCAACGAAGGCAGGTAGGAAAACTTACTTACCTGCAGAGCAGAGCCAAGAAAGAGGACACAGTCGCTGCTGTACCCAGCAACAGTCCAAGTCCCATACTGAGAGTTCCATACTGAGTAGCCCCAAGTCATGGGCCAGCAGAATATTCCAGAATAGCAGAAACACCTCCAGGTGCCTTTGAGCTGAGGCATGACTGTTTACGACAATCTGACCCCCTCCCCATGTCCACCTGACCAGACCAAAGGGATCGCATGTCACTGCCAAACAACCATCATTAGGAACTCACTGTTGGGTGTAGGGTAGAAAGTGGCCCCAACAGGGATATAAGGAGCTCACTGGTCTTTTATTAGAACTCACCCCAACCCCCAGGGCTTCCCAAAACTTGCAAGAAATGTAATGTGGCAAGTAGCTCTATAAGTGGAGAAAATTATGGCTATTTAGAGGGAGAAGTCTTGCTTTTCTTGGAGTTTTGAACATAAAGAAGAGGAGCTTTCTGACCAGTTACTACGTATCTCCAGAGCAGAGCAGCCTGCCTATATTCTGAGTAGTAACACCCTTGGTCAAGGATGCTCAGTTTCCCCACATTTATAGGAACCCCGGGACCAAGCCGTCGGTGGCCCTGGGAGGAGCCTTCAGAAGCTGTGGTCAGGCTGCCTCTGAGAATCTACTTTCCTCACGTTTCTCTGAGAGGCCCCAAGCCTTGCTGCTCTCCCACTGAGGTAGGCTACCTTCCCTCCATCTAAGGAACCCAGCCTTGTAGACAGCCCTGTCGAAGGCCCAGGAGCCCTGGGCAATGCCAGGGAGACCCCAGCAAGGCCCTCTGTTCCAACACTGGAAGCTTATCTTGCTGCCCTAAAATCCTGAAGGCAAATTCTTAGCAGGGGCGTTAGGGTTTACTATTTAAAGTTGTTTATGGAAACATCGTTTTTAAAGATACAACTATTCCATGTATAAGCCATCATTCTGTGTCTAGAGACAGACACAGGTGAGATTGGGTTTTGTTTTGTTTCTTGTTTTAAGAAAATAATTTTTATCACAGTAATTGTCTTCTTCTGGCAAACCAGTGCCAGGGATGTGGGAAAGTCCCCCAGATGGTGACCAGGGGGTGGAGACTCTGCTAAAACCCAGTGTGAAGATAATTCTGCTCCCAAGCAACTCAGGATTTGAAACTCAAGTTTTAGCCAAAAAAAGTCACCTTGCCCTGGCCACAGTGTCTGAAAGGCCTGCAAAGTCTGTCCACACCCTGTGACATGGGCTGCTCTGACTTTCAACATTCCCAAGCCCCATGTCCAGCTCTGAGTGGCTAAGATCTAGAACCAGGCAACCAATGCTAGTTTATTGTTGTTGTTGTTGTTTGTTTGTTTGTTTGTTTGTTAGCAAATGTAAACCTTACCTGCTTGCTGTTGGGCGTGAGTCACGGCAATGCCTGAGAGAAGGAGGCTAAAGACGGCCACGAGGGGCAGATGCCGGTGTTTCCTCATTTTGGATGTCTAAGCACCAAGTGTGAACCTAGAAAAAGGACAGGGTGAAAAGAATGATCAGTGTTTTCTCTCATACTGCAAAATTTTCCAAAACCCATTGCTTTTTGTGTCATTTTAGACTTCTGAATAGGCTTCGTGTGTGATTCAGTCTTTGAACCAGCAGCAAATGATAAAAAGCAGGCAGGCAGACAGACAGGGAGACACAAACAGACACATCATCATGACATCCAGTTGGCAAAACCCTATAGACAGCAGTGGTTCCTCAAGGTTTATTACCTAAATGTCACAGTTCTCTTATGAGGCACTCTGATTCCCAAAAGGACGGAGCCACCCAGTACACTTCTCAGAATGGGTCCTCATGATGAAGTGATGCATGGCTGCATACTACACACACACACACACACGCACACGCACACGCACACGCACACGCACGCGCACATACATGCACAAGCTGGCCTTGTGGTGCAGGCCTGTAGCCTCAGCTACTGCAGACTAAAGAAGAAAGATTAGAAGTTTACAAACACTAGAACACTCTGAGCTACAGAATGAGTTCAAGGTCAACCTAAGCAGTCACCGAGACCCTTTTGTGAAAATGAAAAATGCAAAGAGAGCTGGAGATACAGCTTGGCAATAAAGCATTTATCTATCCTGGGTGAAGTCCCTGGTTCAGTCCTCAGCTCTACAGACAAGTTGGGTATCAAGAAGGAGAGAATGGCAAACCAGAGGTGGGTAGATGGAGCTCTTCCCAAGGGGCCACAGACTTAATTACTTTTGTGTGTGTGTGTGTGTGTGTGTGTGTGTGTGTGTGTGTGTGTGTGTGTGTGTGCCTGAGTGTGCATATGTGCACCTTGTACATGGATCCCCTGGAGATCAGAAGAGAGTGTCAGAGCCCCTGGAACTAAATTTACAGATAGTTGTGAGCTACCATGTGAGTACTAGGAATGGACCCTGAGTCCTTTGTGAGAGCACCCAGTACTCTTAGCCACGGGGCCATCACTCCAGCCCCAGGACCTCAGGGCTTCTCACTTCCTACATGGACATTTTTTTAAGCTTGAGGACAATTTTATTAGAGTTTAAGGGTAAAACAGCAGAGCAAGCAAGCTGTACATCTCAGCGGACGCCGGAAGAGGAGAAGTAAAGACAAGGAAAAGAGAAATCCACAGTTTACAAAGGTGGCGGACAAGCAGCCGCCTGGATGGGGTGAGCTTTTGGCCTGTATCGAAAAAGGGATCAAGACAAGTTAAAAGAAAAATGAAAGGTTATCCCTTTCTGAGTTCAAACTGAGAAAAGCAAAAGATCAGAGTCACAGTGCCCTCTCTACCACAGTGCCCTCTCCACCACAGTACCCTCTCCACCACGGTACCCTCTCCACCACGGTGCCCTCTCCACCACGGTGCCCTCTCTACCACAGTGCCTTCTCCACCACGGTGCCCTCTCCACCACGGTGCCCTCTCTACCATGGTGCCCTCTCCACCACGGTGCTCTCTCCACCACAGTGCCCTCTCCACCACAGTACCCTCTCCACCACGGTGCCCTCTCCACCACAGTGCCCTCTCCACCACGGTGCCCTCTCCACCACGGTGCCCTCTCCACCACAGTGCCTTCTCCACCACGGTGCCCTCTCCACCACGGTGCCCTCTCTACCACGGTGCCCTCTCCACCACGGTGCCCTCTCCACCATGGTGCCCTCTCTACCACGGTGCCCTCTCCACCACGGTGCCCTCTCTACCATGGTGCCCTCTCCACCACGGTGCTCTCTCCACCACAGTGCCCTCTCCACCACAGTGCCCTCTCCACCACGGTGCCCTCTCCACCACGGTGCCCTCTCTACCACAGTGCCCTCTCCACCACGGTGCCCTCTCTACCATGGTGTCCTCTCCACCACGGTGCCCTCTCTACCACAGTGCCCTCTCTACCACAGTGCCCTCTCCACCACGGTGCCCTCTCCACCACGGTGCCCCTCTACCACAGTGCCCTCTCTACCACAGTGCCCTCTCCACCACAGTGCCCTCTCTACCACGGTGCCCTCTCCACCACGATGCTCTACCACATTTCTCTCTCTACCACAGTGCTCTCTCTCTGCTGCAAGCCTCTGCACCAAAAGGAGAGGCTTCTGGGAAGGGAACATGTAACCCTCATTAAAAACCCCCCTCATCTCTTGCTGGCCGTTCCCTAACACCATGTGGAAAATATAGTTCTATTTTCTTAATGGACCTTCAGAGTACTCTCACCACAATCTGGAACATTCTATTTTCACTCCAATTGCTAAGTAACGAGTTAAGTGGGCACCCTCTTCTGGAAAGTAGTGTCAGCTAACCCTGTAAGCAAGACTCTCCTGCTCTAATGACTGCATACATCAGCCACTGTTAGGAAGCACATGACTAACCCTTCTTCCAAACTGAGGCAGGTAGCAACTTGAAGAGAGCATGCTCCTGAGAAAGCAGACTGATGGAAGAGGCTCAGGAGTGAAGGGTTCGTGTGCACAGTGGGTTATGGGTGGAGGGATGCCAAGGGATGCTTACCTTCTCGACAGGAATAGGCTCTGCCCAGCCAAGGGCAGCGAGGCCTGTTTCCAACTCTGCCTTTTCCCCCCTTGCTAGCCAGCACTTTCCCTTCTGTGTGCCAACCTTCAGTCTCATCATCATGGAACAAACCCAAAGAAATTCAATTTGCATGGCACTGAAGCCGGAGCTGAGGGCAGGATGCTCATTACCTGGTTTCCCATCATGCACCAGCTGGCGGCTACAAATGTGACTTCCAGACAGACAAGTTCAGGTTCAGAATGTTCAAGAGCCCATGTCATCGGGCCTGCCAACACCTTCTCTCCCTGCTCAGGCTTCACACAAGCCTCCTCATCCTCCTGCCTCCAATAATGAATCAGCTTGGGGCTGGAGTCTTCCTCAAGACTCCTGTACAGAGCTGCCTGGGTGTTTCTGTCCAGGCTGGGGTCCCCTTACCTCTCTTCTCTTCCCCATGAGCTGAGGCACTGATTCCTGCCATTAAGGACCCATGGCCTTTGGTGGTGGGACTCAGCATCTCCCAGTGAGCAAGTGGGAAGGCTAGAAGGCCCAGGTGAGCAAGGGTACTTCATAGAGGCCCAGGGAAGGGACCAGAGCCAAACATATCAGTATTAGTTCATCTGCTCACTTATTTTTCTTCTGTACTGAGTTTGAGAACATGCTGTCTGATACTGGGAATCATCTAGAATAGTCTGTGGTTAAAGGGGAAAGTCTATCTGGTTTAAGAAACTGAAAATCATTTAATCTAGGGATATTGGGCTTACTTCATAGTTTAGGTTTCCCTATTAGGGTTTTTAAATGTCAAAAGAGGCTCTTTCTGTGAATAGGACTCTAACTGAAGCCATCTTGCATCAGTGTGGACAGTAATTCAGGACCTCCCTCCCATCTCCTATCTCTCTGGTTTTTAAGTGCGTACAGATTTTCAATGTGGGGTTTTTTATCATATTATATTAAAAGTCCAAATACTTGTAAATTGCTTCTATATCCTCTGTCTTGGGTATGGTTTGAGTCTGCCTATGAGGGACAAGGAGAATGGAGAACAAGATGTGTGTGTGGTGTGGTTTGTACAACAGCCTTCACCATTGTGTAGTTAGGACAAGACTCCATTATGGTGATATTTTGTTTGTACTCTAACAAATAAAGCTTTCCTGGAGATCAGAGGGCAGAGCTAGCCACTAGTTAACCATAGAGGCCAGGGAGTGGTGGCACACACCTTTAATCCCAGCACTTGGAAGAAGGAAACAGGAAGTGATTCGGCTGGGCGGAGAAAGAAAGTGATAAGGTGGGCGGAGACAGGAGCTCTGCCCCTTTCAGGCTGAGGAGTTGGGGAGGTAAGAAGTGGCTGTGGCTTGTTCCTTCGTCTCTCAGATCTTTCATCATTTACCCCTCTATCTGACTCCAGGTTTTTATTATTAAGACCAATTAGAATTCTGCTATACTCCATGAGGCCTGCAAAGTGTGAGGGCAGGAGCATACCAGAAGTTGGATAACCTGGAATAATCAGCTGTTTCCAGAAATACACAGCCTATCAAGATTGTATAAAAAAAAACTGTGAAAGAAAGACAGAGAAAGAAAGAAAGAAAGAAAGAAAGAAAGAAAGAAAGAAAGAAAGAAAGAAAGAAAGGGAGAGAGAAAGAAAGGAAGGAAGGAAGGAAGGAAGGAAGGAAGGAAGGAAGGAAGGAAGGAAGAAAGAAAGAAAGAAAGAAAGAAAGAAAGAAAGAAAGAAAGAAAGAAAGAAAGAAAGGAAGGAAGGAAGAAAGAAAGGAAGAAAGAGAGAGAGAGAAAGAACAAACAACCTCTGAGCTGACATAGCTACTATGGAATTTGAGTCAGCCGCCAAACCCTCTTGAAAATAAGGCTCAGGAATCGGTGGCTGTAGTGGGAAATCCCATCAACCATTGAAAGAATTAGCCCAAGTTCTGCCCAAACCCTCCTCAAAACACCGAGGAAGAGGCAACACTTCCAGACTCGTTTCATATGCCCATGATTATCTGGAAACAGGAATATGAAAAGATACCACCAGAAAAGAAAATTACAGACAATATTCCCGATAAATACTGATGCAAACATGCTCAGCCAAATTCTAGAAAACCAAACTCAAAAGCAGCTTAAAATGAGGACACATCATTACCAAGTGGGATGTGTTCCTGGAATGCAAGTATGGTGTGTGACATAGATAGTTAGATAGATAGATAGATAGGTAGATAGATAGATACATACATACATACATACATACATACATACGTACATGAAGATAGATGATAAATATATAGATAGATACATACATACATAGATGAAGATAGATGATAGATAGATAGATGATAATAGAGATAGATGATAAATAGATAGATACATACATACATACATAGATGAAGATAGATGATAGATAGATACATAGGTAGATGGAGAGAGAGAGAAAGAGAGAGAGAGAGAGAGAGAGAGATTGGTAGATAGACAGACAGGCAGGCAGACAGACAAATAGATGATGGGAGAAATCATATGCTCATCT